CACCTAGTCGTGTACCTTGAACGCTAGCCGCTTGTGTGTGCGTTTTGACGTCACTTGACACCAATTCTTTGGGCAAGAACCCGTTCTTTTGCTGTTTCGATCAGTATTTGTTCTGTCAGCCCGGCAACTCAGTCTCATCCTGTATTGAACCACAAAACCCTGCCAGTTGAAGAGCCTAGATAGATATGTGTGCGCCCAGCACGCCACCACCATTAACCAATGGCAGTGATACACACCGCCCGAATTCGACAAATAGGAAGCCCGAACAAAGCCATTGAGCGAAGTTCATGCTTTCTGTTCTGGCTGATGGCGCAAAGCACTGGACAAGTAGGTCTGTTCCGTTTGCGCACGTGCTGGCCGTTCTGTTTAGTTGGTAGGAGCACAGCCTTCTAGTGTTTTCTATTAAGTGCAGAAACTCGTGCAGCAGGCGCAACTGAGGGAAAGTCAAAACAGTGCAAATAGACAACGAGCAAAGAAGAGAACAACAAACCTACCCCACCCCGCCGAACGACGGGGGCGTGCATGCATGTTACCGTGACGTGTGCTTTTCACAACAACGCGCAGGCCCGCGCGGACGAGCGGTTCAAGTCTTGTTGTCTCGAGTCAGCTCCATGAGGCCGCATCATTCGTGTGTAGATTTTGCGCGTTGCCGCAACATCGTCCTAGCGGGCGAAATTGTGTTTAATCGAATGGCATAACAGAGGGCCAACTCAAGGACTTCACTCAGATGCATCAACTTTTTTTCGCGGAAAAAAAGAAGGAGAATTGAAAAAGACAAACACAACACTAGTCAACACATACTCACGCATAGTACTTGCCCGTGGTGTTGGGTCTGACCCGTTTCTGCAAATGCCTAGTGTTTCCGCCACACTTACCACGGTTAATAATAATGCTGTTTTTGCCGCCACAGAAGCAGGACACAACCAAACGGGTGTAGGTCGGTGTGAAGCAAGAATTGAACGACGCGAACAAACAAACAAACAAACTGTTGAAATTCAGGTGCTGCGGGTTGCTGTACGGCTGCGGACCACGTCAGCTGATGGCCAACACGGTGTTCGTTCTGTCGATTTTGGTTTGGGTGGGTCTGACGACTCTCGCGATCTCTCGCGGCGTCAAGTACATGGGCATTCTGCGGATCAGGTGTGTGGTGCATACGTCTCGCCGCCCGCCCGCTCCTCCCCCCGTGCCCATTCTCCCGCCTTGCCCCTTAGTTTACCGCTATTAGGGCTACAGGGGGGGGTTGACTTCCGTCGGTATCGGAGGGGGTGACTGGGGCGCGAAGGTCGAAATTTTGCCGATTTCCTGTCCTCGGATCAATATCTAGCGTAGTCTACAAATGCGCACTCGAGGGAAAGAATAACGTCCTGCCTACGTAAAGCGTCCATTCTTCTCCGCCCAAACGACAGCAACGTTGTGGAGAGAGCGGGAACGGACTCCGTCGCTCACGGAGGTTCGGACATGCCGGAGTTCGCAAAGAACCTACTGTCTCGGATAGAAGCCCTCGCGGCAAAGGCCGGCCACACCGACACCCTGGAAGGCGGCGAATCTTGTGTTCCCAGCGGGGTCCACTCAATGGCCCCTTCAATGGCCCCTTCAATCGCATCCGACAGGTCAGGGTGTAAGACGGGGAGAGAGGGAGGGGAGGGAAGGCGGCCTCCAACCGAAGGAAAGTTGTACACGGAAACCAAGGCCGAGACTCGTGGTGTCCTGATCTTCCTTATATCTAAAACACTGCCGCTGAGATACGATAATGGAGCTTTGTCCGCCGAAGCTCGTGGGCGATCTGATCTTCATGTGCTTGTGTCATTGGGTGCTACTTTCTACGTTGCATCTAGCTGTAGTGGCGGGAAAGTGTTAAAAGAACCGGCCGGCTGACCTTCTTGTTCAACGTCAGGACACGTAATGAAATTATCCCTTTATGCATACATTATGCCACCACCTTGAAATCTCGCGGTTAGCCAACCAACAGCACAGTATGGTGTGCGGGATGACTTTACACATGCATGCACCCTCGAGTTAGAGCTTGGAAATGTCCTGATTGGCGAGAGGCGCTGACTTCTTCTTTGTCGACGGTCTTCCTCAGTGAGCGTCGTCCATGAGCTACCATCAGCCACAACAGACTAGGTAAATGATTTCGAAGCAGGTTGTAGGGTTCACCCGCCCACCGCCCCCTCGCTCGTTCGTCGCTTGCTGAAACACAGTGCACCCCCAGAGATGCAACTCGCCGCTTTTCGGGGGCGGTAAAAAAACGATGTTTTGAAGGAGTCGATGGGGTTGGGAAGATGCAACAACGCATGTGCGACAGAGAGAAAGAGAGAGACGCGGTGGACACCAACCAGCGTTTTTAACTTGATGGGCTGAAGAAGAACAGGATAGATGTTTCAAAGGGAGCGGCCGCAAAAGATTCCGGCAGGAGGAGTCGACATGGCGCGCCCAAGGAGTAAAGAGTCTGAAACATAGCTGGCGTTGTTGCTGCGTAGGGCAAAGCATGCGTACGCGGGGGTCACTCAGAGCCGCACTTCCTGGGGATAACCTGTACCACATATTTGAGCCTCCTCGTAACCCTCACAAGCCGGACTTGAGCAACGAGGGAGCGGCGAAAGAGAATAGACGATAGGCCTGGAAAGCATGTACGGGTGCTTTGAATTTGTGTGCATGGAAGAAAGACGTTCGTCCGGACGGACGGACGGATGGGCAGGCAGGCTGTACAACGCGCTGTATTGTTATTAGTGTATGTCAACATTCCCCCCCCAGTCACCCGTCTTTCGTACTTTGCTTGGCAGCCAGGAGTATTGCGGTAGTATTCAGGAGCGGGTTGTCATATTGATTAGCCGGACACCGTAGCCTAGACTGTACGTAGTGTAATTCTGAGTATCATACGGGGTATCGTCTACATGTATTTTCGGTTTGTGTCAGGGGGCGTCGAGTGTTGGTGTCGAACGATCGGGTAGAGGAGGTTCCATTGACCAGTCTGCAATTTTCGAATCGAGGTCCATCTGCATGTATGTCAAATTGCATCTCGTTGTCAATTGTTCGTGGGGTTGCTCCTGTTAATTCTCCTGAGCTCGAGTTGAATTTCAGGTGAGATGGTGCAATTTTTTCGTAGGGAGGCATGAGATTAGTCGAACGTGAGGGCTTGTGTTGTCTTACAGACTCTAGGGTGTTGGAGCGGGGTTGGTCCGGTCGACGTGAAATAAACACGAACGACGGACACGGACACGGGCATTCCACGGGGTCGTAGAAATAGGCATGCGACAATACCTTTCTACACATTTCCTGAAGTTGTTTAGCTGGCTTGTGACCACGTTGAGTTTATATTGTGTATTGTCTTGTTGAATATTAGGGAACAAGGATCTTTTGGGTAGATTGTACCATGGAACAAGTTGCAACACTCCACAACAATAGCGGATTTATTCTGAAGAATTGGTTGAGAGAGACTGTCGATGATAGGCTGCGTGCGGGGTGGATCCACCCAACCAATCCTCGCTCTCTCTGAAGAGCATGTGTTGTTTGTCTTCTCGGTTGAGATGATCGCCTTCTTCGTTCTCTCTCGGTGTGTGTGTTTAGAAGGTTCGACAACGACACAACAAGCTTTCGCTAGAAGACCAATCAGCGCTGGCGCCGGTTCATGGCGGGTCCGAATGACCCCGACGCTTTCCTTCCGAGGACGGTCGCTCCCCTTTCGCCAGCGCTACCGTACTTACTGCCTGTCCATCAAACTTTTATTTCGTGGCGTTTCCTCTGAACTAACTCATCACCCGCATTCAGTTCAGAACGTCCAGGGTACGTTGAGCGTTTCCATCACCCACTCCATCCAAGAGTACCCAGGGTTTACGGAAGAAAACCTTGGAAAACCCACTTCAAATGTGTTGAGCCTGGGATTCGATCCCACGATTTCCAGTATAATTGTAGCAACCGAAATCAAATCGCTATTTAGATAGACCAGTCAGCAGCAGTAAGGAATTCGTGAAAAATCGGAAAAAGACCGGGAAAAACGGTGTGCCTAATAAACACTGTACCGGGTACACCTCTTCCGAAGTATCAACAGACAACCAAAAGATCGGTTCTAGCCTTTGGTACAATATTACTGCGGACAGCACTTTGGCAACGAACAACGGTCCCGTCCCATTTTCGACATGTTTCGTCTCAACCTCTACAAAAAATAGCGCCATTTCTCGTCGGTGTTGACGTTACTCTTCACAAGGAAAGCCGCCCTGTTCTCTATCTAGCACCTCCAGTACCACTTGAGGCAAACACACGATTCTCCGCGGCCACGGGCCGACTCAACTCAGAAAAAAGGTAACAAAACAAAACGACAGCCCGTCAGAACGCACCCTTTGCACATCCTCGCGCGTTTGGGTTTCCCATACAGTTGGGGTCCTGTGGGCAACGTGCGCAGACAGTCACAAAAGAAAATGCACGTCACCAGAAACCCACGCACAGAGATAAACATCGCCGGCCGAACAACAGCCCACGTCACGAACGGAGAGCGAAACAGAACAAATGCCGTCTATCCCGAAGGCACGTCAAATACTTGCATGTATCGCACAGGGTTCTTCCCGTGCGGGCGGCGGGGAAGGGGCAAGAGGAGAAAAAAAAAAGTCAAACAATACAACAACCTCAAAGCAAGGCAGCAGCTGTCGAAAAGCATTTATGTTGCCAGTACTCACCGCTGCCCCTTAGAGGCACCCTCCGTAAGTTGATGTAATAATACGTCTGATACCAACAAGCCCTGTGCCAAAACAAACACACGTGAGGGACACGTCAAGCCCGCGTCGTGTGTTTGCCCGGGGTCGCGTTTTCGACGAAAAATAGGAAACCAATCGGAACGCATAGCAATAAAATAACTGCAACGTGTGAACATCACGCGCTCAGATTGGCGGACAGCGCTTGTGACACAAGGACCCGATCTGCACAAGAAAACGACCATCCCGTCACGTAGCCCTCTTCCTTCTTTTGCGTGCCCCCCCCCAGTAAATATGGCACGGATCGAAATCGATCCGCCGATATCGCCGCCCGCTCGAGGTCAATCGGCCGACATCCTGACGAGGCCGACCCTCCCTTGCTTGGTGCCGTACACGCACCCCATCCCCGGCTCCGGGTGAAAGCAGGCGATGTTCACGTCCTCCTCGCCCGTGGGCATAGGCATCGAGTTCTGCAAGCAGGTCGTCGTGGGTGGGGGGGGTATAACTGGTTACCCCTTACTCGGAGATTGGGCTTGAAAAGGAATTGGGCTTAAAAAGGAATCGAGCTTGAAACAATAATGATCATTAATTGGTACTTCATAATAAACATACTAAAACAATAGCAATAATAAATGATAATCGGGGGGAGGGGCATCGGGGTGAACCCATCGAGAACCCAAAAGCTGGAAGTGGTCGGAACATCCTCTCTCACGGGTAACATGACGGTGGTAGAGGACGTGGACAGAGGAGGAAACGGCCTCATCATTGTCTCCGATATCACTTCCCGTACAACAAGACCCTCTATGTGGGAAGGCTCTTCGAGGTAGGAGCAAGCGATATTTCTTCAGGAACGGGCAATATTTCCCAAGAGTACGCAAAGGAGGGACTGGTCGCCCCGGTCGGCTAGTGGTAACCTCGAAACCGCTAGTGGCAAAAGCCGTGAGATCGAATCACCAATGGGTGAAAAATTACAACTTTGCGGGTGAAAGCGAAAAAAAACAAGCTGAAAAGCTCTCGTGAGTACCAAACTTCGACGTTACTGTAGCACCGTTGACGAGGGAAAGGGACGGCTGGACCCTATTCGCGATAAAAAAATAAATTCAGCACGCACCGCAGGAGGAAGGTAGGGCGCGATAGTGAAATGAAAAGAAGAAAAATCCCCTGTGTTTACCCCCCTCCTGTGTGAACCTGGATGGTTGTAGTTGTACGAGAAAAAACAAACAGAAAAGTGTAGTACTATACAACACTGAAAAGGGTCGTACACGTCGTCGCACCACGAAAAATTGGGGGACTGTCGCCGCAATATATCGGACGAACACACACACAGCACACACACGCAGCAAACGGGGGAAAAAAAAAAAGGGGTGAAAAAAAGTAGTTCCCGCTGTTCGTGTTGACGTCGTCTGGGATACCACCACGGCTTAATACCTTGTTCCGTAAGGGATTACTCTTGTGTCAAGTTTCTTTGGCCAGTCGTCTTCGTATCTCGCTCCCCCCCCCCTACATCTCACCACTGGTTGGAGGTCGACGGAGCGGTAGATGGAAGATAGAGCGCGTTGCGACGGGAGAGGGATGGCTGGGGCGTCCGGCGCATTGCCTCGCCTAAGGGCCCCGACAAAGAGACGAGCGGTGAAACGACAATCACACACGGAGGGAAGAAGGGGAGAAACAAACGACGGGGGGACGGATCAGGCAGGAGGGAGAAAAGCACAGCGAACGTGCCCATTAGACACCGTATTTCCTTCGTGTCTGAATAGCGGAGCAACATCCTTCCATTGCAGGGCCGTGCTCCGATCCGGCGTGCTCGGAAGCCCATCAGCCTGGATAAGCTCCTCCCCGTTCTATTTTGCACGTACATGCTCCGCTTTGTCTTCCTCGTCAACGATTGCCACGACCAAATAAACACGTCCACAGCAGTTCAAAGTGAAATACGCTCATCATCTACATGGCCCCCACATCTTGAGTTTCGTCGCAACATCTGTCCGGCCGCAAGCGACAGACAGACAGGCAGACAGACAGAGGAAGGCCTCCGAAACCTACGGCCATCCGTCTCTCTGACATCAGCCCCCGAAACAGTCCGGACACACACGATTGTCACCCTGGCAAGGTCTGCTACTGCCGTAGTAGGGGAGCTCGACGCCATAACCAACTCACTCACCGGTCAGGAACAGCGGCCGCCTGTCGTTCTTGTTGTTGTTGTCTCGTTTGTCGGGTAGCCCTCCCACCGCCGCCGCCGCCGCCGCCGCCCCCTAGACCGCCGTTGCGCACCCCCACGCCGAGTAGGATGTACCGCGCAGACGGCGACAGTTTCACCGACGTGACCTTCAAAAAATCGATTTTGTTCGAATGTAGCATCCGTTCGCGAGAGCACGGAGGTTGACATGGGATGTAACCGCCAGGAGGTGTGTGCGTGCGGCACCGACCGTGCCGGGTCGAAGGCCGCAAAGACGAGACCCATTCGCGAACGACACCCGCGCAGAGCTTAAAGGGTGGTTGGTCAAACGATGAACTTTATCGTGCAACGATAACAGATCGAAGGTCCCAAGATGCCACATCCATTTTCTTCTTTATGTACATATTTCCAACCCCCCAGTCGAGCATTGCAACGAGGCAACAAGAACAGCGCTTGCGGCCCCGCTCCTCTTGCCGTACCCAGATGGAAACTTGCGTGAAAATAAGCTTGATGGGGCTACTCTAGCGAACGGCTAAATCCAGAGCGGATTTTCACCTAGAACCCAAGGTATGTAGAGGCATAAGGTTTTCCCGTGTTCGACGCAAGATAACACCCCCGCAGGAAGAGGCACTAAACTTCCGTATTCTACGCAAGACACCACCCCCACAAATGATCGCCGCTCTTTCGTCGGCGAAAACACCATTGTGCGGCTAAACGTGAGCCCAAAACCTAAGGAAACTCTCTTGATCAATTAAAAGGGTCATCGAACACACCACATTCCCGGTTCACGACAACATACCAAACGCCACGCAAGGTATCACCATGCCCGGGCTATATTGTACCGAAAAACGTTTAAGAGCGAACTGCTTGGGTTACGTAAGGACACCTGCTTGGCGTTGAGGGTGTCCATCGGCTCCGCGCGCACCACCCGGGCTACGCTCCCTCTCTCCGCTCCTCCTCCTCCTCCTCCTCCTCTCCCTCCCTCCACGTTGAGCGACACCATCACGAGGTGCGGCACGAGCTTCCGGGGAGGCTGCGACTCCACCGCCAGCGACGGCGACGCGCGACAACGCCTACGAAAGGAAGAAGAATGAACCCCGCCGCTGCTGCTGCTGCTGCCGCTGCTGCTGCTGCTGCTGCTGCTGCTGGCATTGTTGCTGTTGTTGTTGTTGTCTGGGGAATCCCGTCTCCACCCCGCCGCCCCCCCCTCTACTCTGACGCTGTCACCACCATCGCCGTGATGCCGCTCCTCCTCACTGCCATAACCACCCCTGCCCTGTGTTTCTTCGCCGACACATCTGCGACCGGCCCCTCCCTCTCCCCTCCCGTGAGGTGCCGCCGGCGGAGCGCCCACTGCGTCGCCACCACCACCGCCGCCGCCGCCGCCACCTCGTAAATACTCCGTGCTCCACCCTCCGCCTTCCCTACGTCCTAAATCGGTCACGCTTGCCCCCGCCGCCGTCGCGCCCCCCCCGGGAACCTGGAGAAAAAACAGAGGCTGCGCCGCCCCCCCGCCTTCTTGCTGTTTATGATGACGATGATGTCGCTCTTCTTGCCGGCACGTGCCTCCCGTTGTTGTCCCCACGACTCCGGTCGAGCTGGCGCCGCCGGCCCCGTGCCTGTCCGGTGACGACGGCCGCCGCGGGGGCGGCAGCAGCAGCGGTAGCGACACTCTCATCCCCCCCGTCGGCAAGGAAGGAGACGAAGACGACGGCGACAACGAGGGAGCCGCGGCGGCCGACTGCGGAGGTGGCCGCGTGTGACGCGACGCGACCATCGAGAGCGAGGACGGCGAAGGGGTCGAAAAGGACGGGGGTGACGACAACGCCAACAAGCCGCCGCCGCGACCGGAGACACCGAGCATCATCGGCGGCATCGGCGGCGGCAAGGGCGGCGGACGATCTCCCTCTTGTTGCGTTGCTCCACCGCCCCTTGTCCCCTCCTCGGCGCTTCCTATTCGCGGCGAAAACCCTCGCCGGATGTCTCGGCCCCAGAACCCGCCACTGCCCCCCGCGCTCCTCCTGCCACCGCCCGACGCACTCAGCCAAGACCCACTCAAGCGCCGCTTGAGAGTGATTCGCGGGGACGGCGTGAACGGGGGCGGCGTGAACGGCGGGGGTTCGTTGTTACCCCCGGTTTCTGGCCGCGCCGACGCAATCGCCTCCTCCTCCGCCACCGTTGATTCGACCCCACAGGCATCGGCATTGCTCCGAACCCCTCCCATTCTCACATCTTGCGCCCCCACCGCCGCCGCCGCCGCTGCCGCTGCTGCTGCCGCCGATAGAGTGGCACTGAAATACGGCCTTGTGCGCGCTCGACTAGGCCACGGCGCTAGCACGGGTCCCCTCTCTCCCCCGGCGTGCTGCTCACCAGCACCTTCTTCGCGTCCTCTCGCTGCTGCCGTGTCCGCGGCGTGCTGCTCACCTCCGCCAGAACCACTCCCCGCTCCTGCGGCCGCCGGTGCTGCTACCGCAGACGTTGACCCGGTCAAGCTCTCGGTGCGGGCGACCCTGCCCGTCGTTGTTACCAACGCAGGCACCGCGTGGCACGGCCTGCCCAGGTTCGACCCGTTCTTGGGTGCGACGGTATCCCCTACGCCATTGCCGCTGCCCTTCTTACTCCCTAGCGCACCGCCCGGAGGCTCCGTCGTTGCTCGTCCCTTACGCTTACCCCCCCGCGCCGCCGCCGAACCTTTCTCCACGGCCTCCCCTTCACGGCCCGCTTCCTCCTCCTCCACCTCCGTCAACGTCGACATCGGTGACGCCGTCGCCGCGGCCCCCGTGGGCGATGCCAACGAAGGGATCGACTGCTCCGAAGCCAGGCTCGGACCGGCAGGGAGAGAACGTCGGTCGCTCGCGACAACCCTCTCCCCTAGCTCGGCGATCGTGCACAGCCAGAGGCCGTCCTCGGACACATCGAACCCCCCGTCGTTGTAAAGCAGGGCTCGGCTCAGAAGCACGCGTTCCTACCCCCCCCGCCCGCGTTTCGCGAGCGGCGCAAAAAAGGAAACAAAAAGTGGTTCGGCCGAGCGCGGTGGGAGAAAGGGCGAAGCGAGAAACGTGGATGGGAGTTGCCAAAAGGCGGAGCGGGGGTTGGGAGGCGAGAGAAAGAGAGAGAGAAGCACAGAGCGGGGAAGGCAGCGAACTAAGCGGTACTTGAGCAGGTGTTTTCGCCGACGCCTTCTTTCCATAGCGCTCACAGGCAAAAAAATGGCAATAACGTTCCCATACGAGAAAGCAAGCCTCACACCGGTTCAAGATACAGCAAGGGAAAAGAACGACCCATACCCACGGAACGAGGCCAAATAATTGGTCTCCTCACCCTGGTCATCGCCGCGGAGACATCCTCCGCAAAAGCTGCCTCGAGACTAAAGTCCCAGACCTGCAGCAGGAAAGACACCTCGGCGGGCCGGGATGGTGGTGGGATTTCTGCTCCAGCCGCTGCTGCTGCTGCTGCTGCTGTAGCTGCTGCTCCACCCCGCGTTCCTCCTCCCGCGGCATCAGAGGAGTCGTCCTGGTCCAGACGCCGGTCGGGTTGGTCGAGCGAGAGGGCGGAGTGAGACAAGCCTCGCGGGGATCTATTGCATCGTCCGCATGAGAGGGAAAGTGCACGCCAGACATCGATTCCACATCGCCCTCAGGAGGTTGGGCTCCACAAGAACAAAAACAAGAAGTGTGGTCGAGGCCGCCACTGCCACTGCCGTGCTCTGCTTTTACGCACATCCGGTATAGTCAACCAAAACGACAACCTTCCGACGTCCCTCGAGGGCGGCAATGGCTTTGGAGAGGTTCCGCTCGAAATAAAGCCCTCTATCACACCTAGCGTACCGCGGCATCTTGGTTGTTCGAGGTTGTACCGCTGCGCACCGTGGCCCCTCCTTGTCCATTGTAGTCTGCTGGCTACATTCGTTCCCCCCTACATACACAAACTGATTTGTCTGCCTGTCTCTGGCGCTGCCTGTGTGTGTGTCTCTCTCTCTCTCTCTCTCTCTCTCTCTCTCTCTCTCTCTATCTGACCGTGACCTGGCTTTGTTGAGACGAAGGGGAACTGGAGCTTGAGCTGCTGTTAGCAGCACCGACGATGATGCCGTCCCCGCCGGGAGTAAAACGCACGCAGCGCAGAGTGTGCGAGTGGGCCCATGCGATGAACGGGCGCGCCTTGCTCTGATTGGCCAGAGCAAAAAAGAACAAGGTTCAAGTCAGCTCGCTGTGGTTGAAGGCAAATCCTGCAGACTACAGGTTCCAAATATTCACGGTGTGTTCCGCATGGACAAAGTACATGATAAAGGAGCCATGGGCACACGTGGTAGATTTACTGGTCGTCTTCAAACCAACTATCTCTACACAATGTTGAAGTCGTTTCGAAACGCCGGTTCGTTGAGCATTGGTTCTCTCACGGCACCCGTGTAGAACCAATATCGGCAACGATGTCACCAAGCAGTATCTGCAAGTCCTTGGGATGCACTTCAGTAACATGACCAATTTGCGGGACCGTGCGATTTTGAAATGTGACGTACATACTTAGGGACACACCTATTTCGACATGCCTCTTGGATATGACCCTCGTCAAGGTCTAGGATATAATTCGTCGCGAAGTGTTTTGCTCCTGCTGCTGCTGCTGCTGCTGACGTCTCCCTAGTACCTTCTCCTCGGTGCTGCTTCAGCTTTACAGGTTATGTGCCGGCAAAAACAAGCCATGTACGAAGGTATCGGTCACTTACGTTGTAGTCCCACAGGTAGACGTAGAGGCTGCTGGCTATGGCGAGCATCTTGCCGGAAGGGTGAAAGCTCAAGGATATGATGGCAGCCTCCAGGGTCACGCTGTGCAGGCAACGCCCCGTCGAGGCGTTCCACACCCTCACCTGACAACACAAAGGGCGTCCGCCGCGCCCGCACCACAACAAAGACAGCAAGGCAACAGCACCGAAACCCAACGGGAAACCGAACAAAGCAGAGCAAGACAACAAGTATCCGTATCAGGGGCGGAAAAGAAGAATAGACTTTCCACACCCTCGGCGGCGCTAATGTACGCGAAAATTGCAGGACGATACATATCAGGTCGTCACGATAAACATACGACACACGACACCAGACACCGATCAAGGGTACCGGAGGGCCGAGATCCCCCGCACCCCCCCCCCCCCCCCCTGACCACACACAACACACCTCGGATCCGATGCAACCGGAGGCCACGATCCTGGCGTCCTTGGGATGGAACTTGACCGTCCACGGAGTTCTGGGGTGCCCTTGCAGGGACTGAACCACCCTCCCCCGAAAAAAGTCCGTAATCTTCACCGTGTGGTCGCCGTGTGTCGACGCGAACAGCTTTCTGTTGTTGGGGTGTTTGTGGTTGTTGTTGTTGTTGTTGTTGTTGTTGGTTATTGGTGTTGAAGTTGTTCGTGTTGCAGTTGGTGCTGTCGGTGCTGGTGGCGGTGTTACTGTTGGTGTTGTGTCGGTGTTGATGTTGATGTTGTTGTTGCTGTTGTTGGCGGCGTTCTTGTTGGTAGTGTTGTTTTCTCTGGATTTCATTTTGCCACGCTTCGTAACCTCTTTCTCACAGGCCGGCTCTAATAAAACGTGCATGCACGTCCGTATCGGAGGTGTGTCGCGCTTGAAGCAAGCAGGGCGGCACAGAAAAACACCCAAACGCTTCTTTACCCGTGGGCGCCCTTTTCTTCGTGGCACAAGGGTTGTTGTTACACCAACGGACGGGCGGCAGTTGATCGAACGACGGTTGAAACTACTACGGCATGAAGTGGCTCATGGCGCTGCTGCTGTGGGTCGAGCATCTCCTGAAATCGAGTGGCTCAGACCACGCCTTGGCCGCCCGTTCGCCCGACTACGACCGCAAATGGTTTTACACGTGTCGCCACCGAGACCACCCTAACTCCGTCCCGGCTCTACATCTCTACGTACACCTTACAGACCACCGTGGCTGTTCAGGTCGTCGTCAAAACCACTCGCACATTTGTACCGGTCAGCAAACAACCGACGCATCCCAGGTCACACAAATAAAAAAACTGCATCTAAAAAATTCTATTTCTACATGACATGTGCGAGCTCTCGCGCGTGGCAGTTCCCGGTGTCTGTAGGTTAGGTCACAGCGAAGGTTAACGTTCCGAGACAGAAACGCTCGGTCCGAGGCGTTCGTCCGAGTTGAGTCAGCAGCAGAGGGGTCCGCAGCACACGAGGAAAAATAACCGTTTACAAAAAGTTTAAAGACGGTGCTCTGGCATTTGGCCAAGAATGTGGCTGTTCGTGAAAACCGTGGCGGCTGGTGCTTCGTGTGTATAATGTACGAAGTCGCGCGGGAGCCTTTACGCTATCGATCCAACGAAGAGGGGTTGCGGAGCCTGGGGTGGCGGCCGGCTCTTCTGGTCGGTCGGCGAGGCTTTCCCCCCCGCGGGCATAATATCTACAGCCGCGATACACGGCGGGATGTGCTGTACAAGTAGTGCGTGTCTGCCAGGCTCACGACCTACATGTAACATGTGCCCATCAAAGCGGGGGAATAGGCAGCCAAGTTTGGCGGGCCTGCTCATCAGTTCCGCATAGAAGACAGACGAAACAGACCCAGTCCACACTGCCTTTGTGGCCCAGGCTACCAAACGTTGCAATATTAAGTAGCGTGTTACGACCGGAGGAGGGCGAGATCCGGTGACTTTTCGCAGAAAGATCTGGCCTCTGCTGTCGAGGGGAGTTGAGCAACTTCACACGCGGTCCCAACCAAGCTCCGGAGCCGGAGCTGCCGGCGACTGCCTGCATGTAAGGATAAAGAAGCGGTACTACTGTTGCTGTGAAAAATTGTAAGCCTCTTGGGGGAGAAACTCACCCGTCGGTGCTGAAAGCCACGGCAATGGTCGACCGCGATGGCCCCGAACCAGCACAGGCAGCCGCCAGGTCCAGATACTCCAGCTGCTGGCGGAAGACGCTCTCGTCCTCCGCCCACAGCTCGACACCCCTAGGCCTCCCGCTGGTGCTTCGACTGTTGAGTGTCTCCAGGAGTGACTGCGACCTCCTCCGCCCCCCGGGGCGGTTAGGCCCACCCCACTGCCTTGGTCGGCGCTGCTGCTGATGCTGCTGCTGCTGCATGAGGTTTCTCCTGTGATGTCCACAAAAACGGCGGTTGACAAATTGATGCTGCCGCTCTCTGCCAAGTCTTGCAGCCCTTTGAGAGAGCACCGACTTCACGGTGGTTCAAACCATAGCCTGTATCAGCTGTAGCAGTAGCAGCAGGAGCTCATTGGTTATTCTCTCGAAGCCCACCACGCTCCCTGTCTCTCTTTCCTCCGCACTCGCTGCGCCTGCTCTCTGTGCTTGCAGACACAGAGCGCTGCCCGAGGGGCTCCGCAGCTTAGAGGTGGTTTTGAAAGCTGGGGCAGGGGAGGGGTAGTGCTACTGACGTGAGCCCCCTCTGTGCCGGTTCGTCGAGGTTTGCGAAACCGTCGATGTTCCCCTCCCCCGAGCGGGGCCGGGCCGGGGTTCAGAAGCGAGACGCCAGAGAGCGAAGAGGTGAACGCATGTATGCGCCACTCCTTTGACCCAAGAGCGCAAGACAAAAAAGGATTCACAGTTGATCGATCCATTTTGGGGTCCCAACGGCACTGCCGTGTGGAGAAAAGGGGCGGCGTCCGACGGCCGTCGACGACTGCGGGAACTTGGCTGTGGGTGTCCGGACTACAGCCACTTGCGGTACACGGGTGCCCGTATAGATGCCGTTCGCCAAGCGCGTGCTTGCTGCGGGCTTGCAAGTGCTTGGGTCCCAAGCCGCAACCGTCTGGCCTGGACATTTAGAGTATCCCTTGGGTCTGCTGGACGGCACGGACGGATTTCGGGTGACCGCCGAGTTTTCGACGGGCAGGCTTGGCTACTCAGTTTCTGGAGTTGGGGTGAGATTGTCATAGAGCACGGGACGAATAACCACATACGTAAAAACAACCTTCTACAGCAGTAGTCTATGGTATGAAGCACAAATACATAGGCAGCTTCACTCTTATCATTTGTCCTCTGGTTGAAGGGGTAGACTGCGGACTACTGCTGTTGTTGCTGTGCGTAGACCGCGATGTAGTCTATAGTCAAGACGATAGATAGATACTCTTCGTAGCTCCTTACAAAGTAGGTTACGAAGCAGCCGCTGTATAGCTCATGTTGTAGTTCTCTCTCAACATGATTTGCTCGGACCAGGGTGTATATTGTTGTACATATGCAGAGGAAGCTCACCGTCTGGTTTCTCTCGGTGTGGTAGTGTTGGACGACACCTTTCGTCTGTTGCTCTGGGTGTTCTTTGAGAAGTGTGCTATTGTCAAGGACTAGGTTGAAACATAGAGATGAAGGGTGCATTGTCGGCTCCTATCGGATGCAATATACAATTGGAAGTCGTTTTGACATATAACTGATGCCTTCGGTACTTGTGGAGAATATCGTGGCTTCCAGACTCCTTCGTTCTCACCTCCAGAAAGTCTGTCTCTGACACTTGTCTACAGAGTACAGTTTGTGTAACAGAGTGTTTGGGTCTTGTCATGTCCAATGCCCTTGATCAATTCCATTCCAACGGTTAACATAAATTCGATCGGGTTTGTGACCCAATCTCCTTGCTAATCACAGCATCGAAGGTACAAATCAGTTCAACGCGCAATATTTCACATCACCCCACTTCTCCCTGCCTTTGTTCCAGGACGTCAACAACGACGGCTTCAATGATGTCATTCTCGGCGAGTCTCCCGACTCCACCTCTACCGCCGGGGCGGCGTACGTTGTGTTCGGGTCGGAGTCCTTTTCCGCCCTAAACCTGGACGTCTCCGCTCTGGACGGCACGAACGGCTTCAAGATAGAGGGCACTGACGCCGGAGATTTTGCTGGGACCGCGGTTTGCGGCGCTGGGGTAAGTGGGAAACATGAGTTGCAGAACTTAACCGGCGGAAATGTGTTCCCTCTGTTGATTAGTGCGGCTGCTGCCGCTGCTTGTATCAGTCCTCTCAAAAAAGAAAACAGCGTTCGAGTCGCTCGAGCATCTTTCCCCCGAGCACAACTTCATCCTCCTCCCGACCCTCCTAAACTCTCCACCAACAACGTGACACGAAAGGACGTCAACGGGGACGGGTACGACGACGTGATGGTTGGAGCTTGGGGCGCGTCCTCTGCGGCGGGAGAAATTTTGGTCGTCTTTGGTGCGGCTACCTTCCCGGCCGTCGTTGGCGTCGCCGACCTGGACGGCTCCGCGGGGTTCGTGATGCTCGGCGCAACCACCTCTGATGCGGCTGGCTTCAGCCTAGCGGCGGCGGGGGTGCGTTTGATCATTTCTTGGTTAACGTTTGGATACATAAAAAAGGGTGCATATTTTTGAAGTTTTGTGTGCGCAAACGCCGTTTGCGGTGACGAAAGGGGCGCCTGATTCATGAAGTACGGTGAAGGTGCAGGTCATGGTGATGTAGTAATACTCGCACAAAGTACAGTAGTAGATCGGAGACAAAGTAGAGCGGTAACCGCAAGTTGGGGAAAGTACAGATAAGGGTGTAGCAGAGAGAACCATAACGGTCGAGATGAGGCGTATTGGGTAAATGTGGCAAAAACCGACCTCTGGTCTGTCGAAAGCAGGGGAACAACATGTCGGCACGTTCTGGAGGAAGAGAGACGGGTTGCATCGAAAGAAAATAATGTGCAGTAGAGAGTTCGACCGAGGTAGGGGATTTCTACCCACGTCAAATTGACTAACACGTAGAGTGTTACTGAGCGATGAAAGAAAGTACGTTCTGTCTTGATGGCAACGGTGTGGCGCCTCGACTCGGTGCCAGGCGGCTAAACGATAGGAGGTGAACATTAAATCTCTCTTATCTATCTCCGTCTCTACCTTGTAGGGCGACGAATATTGGTACACGATTAAAACTTTTTACTCATTGACAGTCCAGCAGTTCTAGGCTAAACGGCCTGAGGTTACGAACGCTCTAAATAGAGCGTTGGCATCAACGCCCATGCCACCCTTACCCAGCTCCACGCCCAGGTCCTCATTCTACAAATTGTTTTTCTGCCGGGTCATCCTTCCTTCCAACCTTGAAGTTGTAGTTGCTTCACCCATTTGCCCTTTTCGCGCGTGGTCTGTATGGGTATACCAGTCAATTGTCTCTTCCCACAAACACAACAAAAACCGTTTCTGGTCCGTTTCTGGGAAAAGACTATCGACTGGTATGACCATAGAAACCACCCGCGACAAGCGCATATGGGTGAAGCAACGACAACTTCAAGATTGGGAGGAAGGATGACCCGGTAGAAAAACTATTCGAGATCGAGGCCTTGGTGTGAAGCTGGATAACGCTGGCATGAGCATTCATGCTAACACTAGGAGTGTTCGTAATCTCAGACCGTTCAACCTTGATCTGCTGGACAGTCGCTGAGGCAAAGAACATAAATCGTGATATTCCTCGTTCCACCAGGTAGAGACGGGGATAGCAAAGATAGGAGAGAGAGAGGAGAATGGCATATGGTCACCTCCAGAACACAGGAGTCAAGTTACCACGCATGCACTCCCAAACGACACGAAACCGTCTTTGCTGGAGAGATCACACTGACGGAAAGTGTACCAAGCATAGGCGAGAACAGCAGTGAAGCACACTTGTTCTTCGTACGTTTTCTATTAACCGCCCTCTCTTCACCTCCCGCCCTCGCCGTGCTGTACTACACACGCTCCCGTCTACCGATCAAACAAACAACGACCAGGACGTCAACAACGACGGAGCCGCGGACATGATCATCGGAGCTTTCCAGTCGGACCCGGCGGGATCAATGTCTGGCGAGGTGTACGTGGTCTTCGGTTCGCTGACGTGGACCGACAGCATACTCGACCTGGGAGAGCTGGGGTTGCGCGGGCTGACGTTTGAGGGCGCGGAGCGACGGGAGTATGTGGGTCACAGCGTGGCCGGCGCCGGAGGTGCGCGGAGAAGACGGCTTTCGTTGTCTGGTGATGGTGGTGTTGTACAAACGGAATGATCGGCTGCTCTGTGTGCATGTGTGATTCTTGGGTTTTGGGAAGGCTGACGTCGTTGTTTCGATGAAATGTTGCTGCTGATGTGATGATGCTGGTGCTGGTGTTGTTGCTGCTGCTGCTGCTGCTGCTGTCCTTCTTGTTGTTGAATTTCCAAGGCAACCACAGGTGCTTTAAACTCATTTTTCATAGAGTCGCAAATGCGTTTCTGGTAGCAGTATCGGACAACAATGAACATCAACCTTCCACCCAGGCGGCAAAGAGTATCTGACACTCGGGGTGCTACATCATGAGACTGGTAGGCGGAGAAGGACGCACGGATCCGTGACATCTGACACCACACCTTTCCCCCAAAGCACTAGAGAGAATGGTATTGGGAAGCGATAGCAAATGGCGTTCGAGAACAATTTTTTGAGTAGAAAAGAATGTTGTCCTTCCAAGACCCCGCCAAACACTCGTAGGTTCGTCGGCCAACAACGTTTTTCGCTGGGAAAGACTTTCTAGGGTAGCTTCCCCCGTAACAGCACCCCGCTCTCCACTCCACTCCTGCCCCGTCTCCCTTCTTTGGGTGCTTCTGATCTCATCGCCCCGTTGCGGCCCGGTAGAGCTGATTCCATGCCCGGCTTTGCGGGACTGTTGCGCACAGTCGCCGCCTGCCTCGATGCATGCGAACCACCGCCTGGTGCTCATCGAAACCTATTGCGACAATGATAGAGCGCATGCTTGCCCCAACAACCTCTCCGCTCTTCCCCCCACCTTTCCCTTCCCGCCCTCCCGTAACCCGTCAACAACTCCCCGCGGCGCCGCCACCAACAAACAACACACCCACTAGACGTGAACGACGACGGCTACTCGGATGTGATCATCTCTGCCCACGGTGCCAACGAGGCGTACGTGTTCTACGGAGCCGCGGTGTTCCCGTCGGAAGTCGTTTCGCTTGGTGCGCTCTCGGGAGACGACGGTTTCATCATCTCTACTGGCAACGACGGAGACGAGATCGTTGTCACCGGGGCAGGGGTGAGCTCTATTTGTTTCTCGCGGCCGTTGTTCTTGTGGTCGTTGTTGTCCGGCAGACTGTGTCACAAGGAAAATGTCAGTGTGTATGTGGCAGAGAAGAGAAAGGGAGAGGCAGAGAGACAGATAGTGACACAGAGAGAGAGAGAAAGTAAGACCCACGATCGCGCAATAAAGAGTAAAAACCGAACCAATATTGTTGGAGTAGAAGAAGACAGAGGACTGGCAGTCCCGGAGAAGAAGAAGAAGAAGAAGAAGAAGATGAAGAGAGAGAGAGAGAGAGAGAGAGAGGTGGGACAGGGGGAGCGGGAAAAGCAGTGTGCCGTGTGGCGGCGCAAACAGGAGCTTGAGTGCCTGTTTCCGATTGTGCACGGATCGGAGGCCAAAGCAATTCCAACGAGCACATCACATGGAGACTCTGAAATCAACGTACCACCAAAAACAAACGTCTTGCTACGGACCACATCCCCAATAAACCATGGACGAAGTTCGAGTGGACAATTTGATCACCCAAACGTGGGCACACGAATACCCCTGTAAACACGCATGCAGGACATGAACAACGACTTGTACGGGGACATCGCCATCGGGCATGCCCTCGCCGACCCGGCGAGCGGCGGCGGCAGCTCGGCCGGGGCGACCTACATCATATTCGGCGGAGGCGACATCTCCACCCCTGTCAACGTGCTGACGGATCTGAACGGCAGCAACGGTTTCGTGCTCGAGGGGGCTTCTCAGGGGGACCGCAGCGGCACGTCGGTCGCCAGCGCCGGGGTGAGAGGAAGGGGATAAATAGTGCGGGCTGGTCGACTGCAGTGAACTAACGAGAGGCATTTGCGCGATACTTAGACAAAGCAAGCAGCGGAAGTAAACAGGGGGCATTTCCAGCACGAAGCGCAGCGAAAAAACAAACAGCACCCGAGCCTCCTTTTTCCTAAACTGGTAACAGGTTTGCCTTGAAGTTCTTCTTCGACTCTGGTACAACCTTCATGCCCCACCGTTTGAATTCCCCCGGTCGACTCTCCCCTCTGGGGTCGAAATCAACCAACCCTTTTCAACTAGGACATCAACCAGGACGGCTACGACGACATCGTGATTGGTGCCCCCGGAGTCGGCAGCGATGCCGGCTCGGCCTACGTCGTGTTCGGCGGGGAGACCCTCTCCGAAGCCTCGTACACCCTAGGCGCCATCGATGCCGAGGGGAGCTACACACTGACAGCCCCGTCGGACGAGGGCTTCGGAGGCTTTTCGGTGTCAGGGGCGGGTGAGAAGAACCCATCGCGCTCGGTGTAATGCCTGCCCGCCTGTCTGGTGAAACCTCGGCCTCAGTTCCCACCAGGCTGGGTAGGGATACTATGGTCAGAAAAGCATATGAATGAGGATGATACAGGACGTTTCCTCCCACGCCCTTCTCCTTTGGCGTGTTGTGTGATAGTCTTTCGTGCGAACTCTTCACCGGATGCCCCACTTGTTTTTTGTCTCTTTTTGGCCTGCATCAACACATGTGTGAGTTTGTACGTGTTCCGGCGTGACATTTTATGGTCCATGTGCTCCGGAGGGTGGACGCCCAGAAGCTCGTCCCCTCGGACCAAAAAACATGTCGCTGCGAGTGGAGGGTCGAGAAAAGGGGGGGGGGGGGGGGGAGCAGGATGGCACAGGGCGTGAAGACGACAGACCGTTTCACGCGCGGCGTGTCACTCGAAGCTCTGGTATGCACCAATCATGCACGACAAGATACCTCCGCTCTCCAACCTAAAGACGCCTCGCTCGCCCTCCTGCCCCCGTTCCCTCCTTCCCCAACCAACCCTTTCTCTGGAAACAACTCCAACTTAAGGCGACATGAACGGAGACGACTTCCCGGACCTAGTCGTGGGCGCCTACGGCTCCGGCACGGCCGGGGAGGCCTTCGTGGTCTTCCCGGGCCTCACCGGAACTCCGCCCCCAACCATGTCTCCCACGCCGGGACCACCCACACCGGCGCCGGTGTCCGCCGGGCCCGGGGCCACTCCCTCGCCCACGGTCAACTTTCTGGTGGAAGGCGTCGTGGGAGCGGGGACGGTGCACGACAGCCCCGGAGTGTTCGTGCGGGCGCACGAGCTTGGCGGGCAGGTGCGGTACAGCAGTTTTCGGCAACGTATGTTGAGTGCTGGTGTTTCGCGTCTCGGGCGTTGGTGCGGTGAAGGAAGGTGCGCATATCACAGCGAATATCACAGTGACTGCTGTATTGTGTCAGCGGGCATCAAGTAGCGTCTTCCTGTCACTCGTTTTGATTTTGCCTTCGGCGAGCAAGGAGTTGGATAAGTATAGTCGTGCCCGTCTCTGTCTCCTCCCTTCGTCTTTCTCCTACGTATCTAAGTCACGTGTTGTGCTTGCTATATCTGCCCCGTCTTTGATGTCGCTGGCTGTCGGGTGGTGTATGACCCCTCTTCCTCATGGCTTCTTTCGTTTTCTGGCTCACGTGCCGGGAAAAAATGAACACGTCCAGGTGTCGCTCGGAGCAGACAGGTGGTTCGACGACGACACAAGGGTTGCCATGGCCCTGGGAGGCCTGCAAGAAAAGGTGAGGGTTCGGACGTAAACCCGTGTGAGGATGAAGACACGACACCTTCGACCTGAGCGCCGCCCCTCACGTTAAGCGCCCGTACCAAGGTAGACAGTAGCTCAACACCTACAATTTCTTTGCACTCCATTGCTGTTGACGTGAAGCAAGCCGCAACCTACCCTTAATCTGCAGACCGCGGAGCTGGTCCCATGTCTTGGTTCGGGGCGTCATATACTGCCGATGTATATTTTTGCTTTGTGTGTGTCACATGAGAACACGCATGCTTGTGTGCGTCACGTGGCAACACGCAGAGCTCTGAGGGAGACCTCGTGGGTCTGGGTGCCGAGCTCCCCCACGTAGCGGACGGAGGCGGCCTGGTGTACGAGGCCACCGCCACGACCAACGTCACCGTCGAAGGCGTCGCCGCTCAAGAGAGCACCATGACCACGTCCGCCCTGGGCGGCGAGGTGTCGATCACGGTGAGCGGGAGGAACCAGGGACAACCAGGGAGCGAAGAGAGATTTGACTCGAACGGTTGGTCGTCTGCAAGAGTTGGAACCAATCGCCGCCAACAGAGACACGGGCGTTCGCTCAATAGAAGTATGTTGTTGCCACCCGACGTTGACCGCCGGGTCGACTCACTGCCTATTGCCACTGCTTAACCAGATACCTGTCCCATGTACCTTGACAATCAAGGTTATGTAACGCTTAAATGAATTGGATGCCCACCCTCGCAATCCGTGCTGCTGCTGCCGCTGCTGCTGTTGTTGTGGCTCATAACATGTTCCTCTCGACATCGCCATGATCACGACGGCATCGTCACATTCATAACGCCACCGCGGGTAAATACTGCGAAAACAACGACGACAACGACAACGACAACGTCGCGTGGCACGCCAACAGGTCACCATGCAAGTGTTCGAGGAGGATGGTGTCGTCACCAGTGGCGACGAGCAGACGGAAGTGAGTTGTGGTAGTGAGTTCAGCATCCAGTCAGGTTTAGTGAGCAAGAGATAACATAGCCGCGAAACTTCACTTGCACGCCCGGCGGATGCTCCTGAGGAGTCATGTAGCCGTGCCGGCTATTTTTTTCTCTGTTTCAGTGTCATCAACGTCTTAGTCGCACTTCTATAGCGTGTCTCCAACTGTTACAACCAGCCTTCTTCCCGCCTCTAGCAACCCCCCCCCAACAACCGGTTGGTCAAGGGTCGTGCGGCAAAGAAGACCAACAAAATCAGTACTCCTCTCCCTCTACCCCAGCCGGATAACATCGGGGGTGCTACGCAACGTCATTGTAGCCTACTGAGGGGTTTACCCAACGATCACGCGCCAGCAAAAACTTGTGCACACGTCTGCCTCCACAAAATACTTTTCCTGCTCCCGCCCTATATCCCCCAGGTGTCTGCTGGGACTCTGAAAATCTCGCTCGAGGTGTCCGACTGGCCGTTCTGCGACCCATCCACGGAGCCCCGCCGTAGCACCGATGACACGCCCCTCACGGTGTGCCCGGCGGGGACGGCGTCGTCCTCGACCCTCGAAACCGGAGCTTTTCTGGACGTCAAGATTGCGGTGCTGGGCCCATCTTCGTCGACCCCGGTCCTGTCGACACCTGCTCTGGAGGATGCGGATAGAAACGGAGGGGTGGAGTACACCATGACCGGCGAAAGTGCCGAGGCAACGCTGGTGATGTCGGAGTGGATCAGCACCGACGACACCGGGTGGACCAAGGTCGGTTATGCATACGACGATATGGCCTACCTGTGTACGAGGAATGCGTGTTAGTGCACGGGTTTTTTCTGTTCGTATTGCCGACGAGATTCGTGTGGTCGGTGAGCGTTGTTGGGATAGATGTCCTGTAGGTCAGAACAGGCACGAACCTTCGCCATCTTGTCCACAATGGCTCGTACTAGCGGAAGTAGTCCGTGTCCACGAAATTTTTCGGGCGCACATAGCCAAACAGCGAAACAATCCACGCACTACCCCCACCACCTCCTCTGCACGTTCCCTTTCCGTCCAAATTCGGAACGAGACCGAAATTAAACTCAGTCGCTACAGTAACACCTCCCAACGTACACCACTCGACGTGTGTGCACGTATTGAACCGTGCGACGAATCAAACGCTGAGCAGTCGGACGAGGTCTCCTTGTCGGGCACTAGCTTCACCGTGAGGTTCCCGGCATCCTCCGGCACCCTTCTCTACGACCCGACCCTGGAGCTGTCCCTCGTCGACCCTGACGATGTCGAATTCTGGAGACATCCTTGGTTCGCGTGGACGGCCTCATCGCTCGGGGCGTTGGTGAGATGGAGAAGGCTTTGGGAGTAATCGGTTCGATGTTCGTTGTTGCGGGCATCAACATCGAATAAGCATTAGGGCGGAGAATGGAACTCCAAGAACATTGCAAAGTATTTCTCAAGGCCGCGCCGTGCATCCCCGCCCCCCCCCTCGCGCGCCCGCCCGCACTCAGAGTACTTGCTTCAGCTCCCCTGGTCTTACGCCCAACAACAACGAAGTCGCTCTTACCCAATCGCAGCAACTAAACGCAACCCACCCAGTAACGAGCAACTTACGCCACCCTCCCCCCCCCCGACCCCTTCACGTACTTTTTTTTCCTTTCCCGGCTCTCCTCGGCGTCTCTGTCTCACCTGGGGTACCGGTATCTGTAACTGTGAAAGATTGTCGTCTGCCTGCTAGGCTGCGCCTTCCGCCGCCATCGGCGAGCGGAAAAGGACAAGGTGTCCCCTGGGTTCGAGGCCGTTGCCCCCGCCATGGACCCCGGGGACGGTAACGGCACTCGGCCAGGCGGACGGCGACCAGGTGGCCGTGTCCTGGCGAGGATGCCCCCCTTCATGCGGATCAAGAACAGCCGCACCGGTGTGGAGCAGGTGAGAGACGACTCTCGCACCGCGAACGGGTCCACTCGGAAGATTTCGTGCCGGATTCGAGGCCCACGAGCCACCTAGCTCCTACGCGCCACAACGTTGCAAGTCCGCAGCGCACTATCTAAGCCAACCTGCACGCTGAACGCTACGGTAGGTAGGTTCCATTGAAGCAATCTACTCGCCGACTTCCCTCCGCTTAGCCTGCCAGGATGCCGGCGTGCTTGCCTGCTGTTCGTGCGTGCACGAGGCCACCATGCACCGAGTTTCGACCGCCAAACCTCCTAAACGCACCATTCGTCTTACGTCTGAGTTACAATGGTTTCAAGCGCTCTTCAAACGACCGACCAGCCCAAAACAAATTATCAAATCGTAGCAGGCAACCGCGACGCCAGGTGGACAGAGGTACACCCGGAGGGTCCGCTGGCGGAGAAAAGGCTCTTCTTCCGTAGCAAACCACGCCACCGCGGGTACGGCAGACGACAGGGGCGGCGGCACCGCGGCAACAGCGGCGCCTTGCTCTAGCGGCGGGGCGGCGGCCGGTACTCCGGACTGGATCCAGGGTCTAGGCGGTGAGCTTGGGGTGGGAGTGAGGAGGATAGAGACGGTGTGGGTAGACAGGGGGGGTGGGGAAGGGGGATCGCGCAACGAGAGCATAGACAAGTTCGAGCGCGCTCGTTTGTCGTGGCTGAGAAGTGTGAAAGGGGTTGTACAACTCTTTGGTGGGGTCTAACACACCGACGACACAATGCCCGGGCGTTTTCCGCCCAAACCGATTCGTACGCTATGCGCTCTGGTTGGTTAACACACCGCCCCCTCGAGACTGACAAGATCCTGCTGTCGCTTGTTGATCTTCTGAAGGAGACGATGGTGGCGGTGGTGGTGGCGGGGGTGGTGGCGCCGAGGCCAGCGCGGGGGTACCGGACTGGCTCGCCGACGTCGCTGGCTCGGCAGGGGCTAACGCAGCCGGAGACGCCAACGCGGCCGCCGGTGGCTACGACGACGGCTACTACGGCCAAGGGTACGAGGGCTACGAAGGATACGAGGGGTACGAGGGGTACGAGGGGTACGAGGGGTACTATGGCGATGGATATGGGTACGAGTATTCCGCAGCAGGCTACGGTGGTGCGGATGAGCGCCAGGGCGTTAGCAATGGCACACCAGCCGCGACCCCTCCTCCTGCTGCCGGCGCCGGTGATGGTGCCGGAGGCGGTGGAGGTTTGAGTTGGCTAACGAATGCTGCAAGCACGGTGAACGGAATAAACAACCAGGAAGAGGAAGACGAAGCTTCATGAAGTCGGGCGTAAGGAGCAGCTTTTTCGTGTAGAACGATCTTGACACATCGAATGCACAGCTGGTGTTGCGCTTGTTTTAGATGTTGCGGCTTTTCGACGCCACAGCTGGTGTCGCAGGATGATGGCAGAGGACAACGTGTTCCCGCGACGGGGGATGGCATGGCGAGGCGCGGGCTAGAAAGAAGAGGCAAACGGCGCACAACACCGGGGCACCCATTGCCAGGGACACTAGCCTCGTACGGGAGGTCTATGTCAGAATTAGTGGTAGGAACACACCGTGAGGAAGCCATGAGAGAGCGCCCAGGGCCAAGACCGTGGGGAGTAATGACCTCAGTCTTCTTGTTCCTGTCGAAAAGAAAACCATTGGAGCGAGGGTAGTGGTATTCAGCGAACGTAGGTGAGAGTGTGCGGGACCGAATGAGGTACAATTCGACCTTCAAATGTCTAGCGAGTTGTAAGGAGAGATACGCATAGCAGTATAATAGACGCATCAAGACCTCCGGTCCCGGACGTCTTGCCTATTTGTTGATGTGGACGATCCATGCCAAATTCTCGACCATCACTCTCGGTCGTGGCGACTGCGTGAGAAAGCTAGCCGCGGGATACACACTAGTCTCTTACGTAGCACGTACTGCGATCGTCCCCACCTGGTTGTGCGGGGTGTGTTGTTCCTGAGCAGAGAGTGTGCGTGTGTGTGCCCTGGATGATGGTAGTTGAGTTTGAGGCGGGGGGCGACAAGCATCAACGGAGGATACTCCCACCAGAAACCAAAGAGTTATGTGATGGTTAAGACAGCCACGTCAAGTCACGGAAGGTAGACTACTTAGTTGTTTGCGCAGCATTGTTGTGTTTTTTTTTATGATCGGTCGCGGACAACCCGCCGTGTCTCCGCATGGTCAGAGCGGCAGTACGGTGTAGGGTGTGGGGAGGGAGAGGGGGGAGGGCGTCGAGAGTGGGCAATCGGGCAATCGATGCGTATGGGTTTCTCCTGTAGGCACGGTACCAGTGAATGTGATGGTTAGATTTCAGCAGCAGCACCTTTGATTCCAAAGCAATGCCTTCGACATACGTGATCGAAGCCGGGGGGATTCCCTAGTCTATACATTTGGGAGTCGGAAGTAGGAGGTATCCTCCACCCGCGCTACATCAAGGTTTCTAGCATACACTCCATCCCCTGACGGGGGCAGGGCAATATAATCCATTCTGTGCCGGCCCCAAATCGTGAACAATTGGTGTTATGTCCGGCTCTCTGGGGAGGTAACCTATTGCTGAAGGGCACAGGCACCGCGATTGTGCAACGATTTGTAGGGTCCTCATTGGCAATCAATAGAGAGCAGATTACACGACGGTGAAAAATTGGTCAAGAATTTCCGATGGAGCCATAATTTCCTCCGCTTCAGTGCATGCACCAGCTCTACATTCGGGCACACCCGCCAAGTCCGGGGGGCATCTACCTTTGGAGATATTTGCACCAAGATACAAGGGTCGCCTTATCCGGCCGAGTGTCACACGCAGGCGGCCGGGCGACAACCGTTTTGGGAATCGAATCTGTCTCCTCGAGCGGGACGGATTTCCCTGCAATGCATGTATGTGCGCGCAATAACAACAGGCAAACTCGTGCTGCCACAACGAAGCCTCGAGATAGAGGCAAGACCGTATCCAGGTTCGAACCCTCTCGAGTGGCCAGTCGCCCACAAATCATGTTCCTCTTTCATGTGGATACGGTACAGAGTCTCCACCAACAAGTCGGAAAAAACAACTTACATATTTCTTCAGATTTGTTGTCTTGCGTCTTGCAGAAGTAATCTGCATCTCGGCCGTCGCCGGATGCTCGGGCCTCTCCCTCCCCCCTGTCCACATTATGCGGAGTGCTCAGAACTGTGCTGAAACCCCCGCCAATTCTCGCCCCGTCAGATTGTTTGCGAGGGTGGCTACGGCGGCGTTTCTGGGCCGTTCAACATTAAACATGCCCGCACACAGGTAAACCGGGCGATACATCAACCTACACGGCGCGCCACACGCGAAACCCACACAAAACGACGTTTTTCTCCCTGGGAAACTTTGAGTCTACATTTTCTCTGCACGCAAGGGCCCCCGGGCCTGTGGCGCCGTGTGGAACAAAACTCCATCCCCCCGCTGCTGTCCTTTTTCCACTCTCTGTACATGTCGATACCCCCCTCCCCTCCCATTCGTCGTGTACGAAAACGGTCATAATCCAATTCAGCCCAATTCGTGACTCGACGATCACAACAAATCCGGGCCGGACGGGGAAAGGAAGGGCCCGCGTGCCGATAGGTGCTGTGGTGTTCACTGGACTAACTGCCCATTTCTAAAAACTCGTAGATCGCCCAACCGCCAGGCCACGCCGACTTCGTTTTCGGAGGTCTTTTCTTTACACAACAGAGGCAGGGTCAGCCCCCTCGTACTCCGGTTCTTCCCCCCGACTGTATCCCCCCCTGGCCTTGCCGTTAATTGATCGGTGGCCATCTTCGAATCCAAATCATCATCATGACCCAAAACACACGTATTTCCTCCAGTCTGCCCGCCTCCCTAGCAACATGGTCCCCGGAAACCTTCCGTGCTTTCGATATCAACAAGCAAAAAACAGAGGACATCATGCGCAGCTTCACACCCGTCGCGTCGCTAGATGGGAACTCTCTTACACCACTACAGGGCAACTAGGCCGCACGCCAACCATTTTACCCGAGGCCTTGTTCCGTTCGGACGAACACAAGCCATAGGGCTTGCTCGGAACGCGAGCGAGGTGACCTCGCCGAGCTAGGTGACCCCGCGAGGAGAGGCACTAGACTAGACACGCAGCAGCAGCAGCCTTTCCGACAGCTGGCTAGTCACAGACATCAAAAGTCTATACTAAAAAGCACGTGAAAAAACACACAAAATATAGAGTCGAAGAGGATCATGATCCAATCACAAACAAAAAACGTCACCAACAACGAAACCATAGATGATTGAGCAAACAGCGGTTGTGGCCACACACCTTCCTTGCCCGCTTAACACACTCATGCGGAGCAAAGGTTGTTCAAGATAAAACACTGGCATGGCCAGAATATCGACAAATTATACATCGCCGAAGAAACAGGCAAACTTCTTGCGCGGAATCCCCGCCTTTTCTTCTTCACATCTGTACAAATGCCTCTTTCGTAACATATACTGTAGTTCCCACGACCGGAACCGGCGAGAAATAATTCGTAGGCCGATATGTGCTGTGATATCGGTAACCAAGATACTCCAGCTGAAAACCAGATACGCAGAGACGACTCTCCCGCCCCTCCCTTCCTTCCATCTGCCGTGGCGGCGCCCCCCTCCGATCTCCCACCAAATCCGAAAGAGACGGAAGATCAAATAACTTCTGTCAACAGACGGCATCGACGTGAGGCGCGCCAAACAGCAAAATCCCGACGCGTCTTGACCCCGGCTGTTGTGCCACCGAGCTCCGTCACATCGGAAAATCCCATGCACCACCACAACAACGCTTCGTACCAAAATGACGGGCCCTCGCGATGAGCTCTTATTGTTGCTCAGCATGCGAGGGCGGCCACGTCCGCAGAATAAAAGCCCTCTGCCATTTCCACCGCGGTGGGAAACCAGGTTGATTGGCTCGTCGTGATGAGGTGGGGCGTGCGGGAGAGACGCGTGCAGGCGCGGTCCTCTACCCAAGCTCTCTTAGACACTGGAAGGTTTCAAGGGGAAGTGGGGGCGCCGCAGGGGGGGGGGGGGAGGGTAAGGATCACAGAGAGGGGAGAGTGTGGGGCTGAATGTTCGTCCGCGCCGGACAAGGTAAGTTGGTGTCCCCTCAAAGTTTGAAGTACCATTCTTTGCTGTGCTATCGTCTAGTGTCGTTATGCTTCTGCTGACAAGCGTAACACTGACTATGCAGCCTGGGGGGCCGGAATCGACAATAGTCAATCGAGATTTGAAAATCGGTCCAGGGGGGTGTTATCTTGTGTCATTTACGGTATGTGTGGGTTTTGTTTTTGTTTTTGGGTATTTATTATTTTCCTGGTTTTGGCAGGACATACACATGGTATGCATATGTAGAGAAGATACCTGCGTAGCGATGCCATCTCAAATCCGGGAGACGCCCTGCTTGTATCGTGAACATACAACGGATCTACTAACTTTGTGTAGCCGTTGTTGAACTGCAGTTGAACATCAAGGGCCGCGCGTCTACTCGCCATGGCACTCTCGTACGAATGCCGACAAGTGTTGCTTCGAATGTTCGGAAATCAACAGCTGCATTGAATTTGAATGGACAGCAGGTTTTCAACGAAACCGGTCGGAGCCTGCAAAAGGCGTACACATCCATTACGCACGCTACCATGTGGGAAATTTAAGCAGCCGGCTAGACTACCTACCGATGGTACCCTCCTCCGTACAGGCAAATCAATCCACTACACCCAAACCCGACTGTGCCGTGTGAACGGATCAAGACACTTTCCCCCCCTAGCGATATCATGACTCCAACTTGAACCTCCACAACTCGAAGTTGAATCCTCCCAACGAACAGCTTGCATACTTGTCTCTTGTGGTACAGTATACGTCAGTTCTGGGAACGTGCGCACACTTGTTCGAAGGTATGCATATGTAAGTGGTGCCGCGTTTCAATTTTCGACCGCCTTGCGTCTACAAGGGGGAACAAAGAGAAGGTCATCGCGGTGCCTGCTCCTTTACAGCTTCTGTACACAGCAAGCAGCGTGTCTCCCATACGCACGGAGACACGCACGAGATGACAAGTACATGGAGGTGATCGCGCTCATAGCGTCCATTTCTGCCGCAACCCAACATCCCGAGCGACTCGTTTTAGGGCGTAGGTTCCGCACAAGTTCGCTTATTAGATATCGGAAGGGAAACGGCACTTGTGTACAGCAGCAAGTACACTCTGACCCGCGCACGGGGGATATGGGGAAGGAACCCGGACCTGTGTGTGTCGCTGTCTCTGCCTTTGAACGAGTCAGACGTAGAGACTCTGGCAAGGTCAGAGAGTCTCGAGGGGGGGGGGGGGAGGGAGGCGTCCTAAACGCCACACCGGGTGATCGCCGCGTTGGTAAGGTATGCATAGGTACTGTGCCCTCCACGGAACACACCCGATTCGGGTCTCTTGTGGAAGCGAGTTCTCTCTCTCTCTCGTGGGCAAGAAAACACAGGTCAACCCCCAAGCAAATGCAACACGCTCAGGACACGGGTGGTTTCATCGCTCGGACAGAAGCACGCAGAAATCGCCCACAGTTTGGGCCTGCCCGGGTGGGTGGCGGTTGTAGAAAACAACTTTGGCGGACAAATCGAACGATTGCTGCTGCTGCTGTTGTTTTGGTCTCGATTTTCAAGAGAGGCCCACACCCAAGTTCGCCAAACTCTCTCCCTTTGCTCACCGTAAAGCTGCAGCCCCTCCCCTCCTCGGTCTGGCGACTGTGAGTCCACCCCTGAGCCGTGAAGGTGCTCCATGAACCGCATCGGGGCGGAGGGCGAAGCCTGTACCGAGCCCACAACAATCCCGGCGGCGAGGAGGACGGAAGATTTCATGAAGACAAAGGTTGCTGCCTCTTTCGATTCTCGCAGCGAACACAGAGAGCTTGTTGTACTCTGCCCCGGTGGTTAGGGTAGGGGGTGGCTCGCCGAGCACACACACGGCCCTCTGTTGTGTTTGCTCGCGCTGCTTGTGTACGGAAATTTGTTCTTGCCCTGTCTGTGTTGAGTGTTGAGAGATGTGCGTGTTGTGTGTGTTTTCTCGATAATTCGCGCATGTGTGAAAACGTGAAAACGTGAAAACGGCAACTGCAACCAGAACCGGGCTATTAGTCGCCATTTATGTTGCGTTTCGTTGCTGAGGAGGCAGGAGGCGGATATATCCTGGCTACTGGCTACACAGGCTTCGATCAGCACAGCCAGTCCGGACGAAGCGTATGACATGAGAGTCGCGGGGGCAGCGAGAAAGCACGCCACCGCGCGATATCCGCGCTGTGCGTCTGTTCCAAAGTATTTGATAGTCTATCTAACGTCCACACTTCCTTCAAACTCTGTCATTGATGATGAACCAATTGAGGGGCGGCAGAGGTGCTTGGGTTGGTAGTTGTAAAGGTGAACAAGCGGTCGGTTCAGGCTGCCAAAATCAAGCCCCGTAGAAAATATCGCACCGCTGGACTGAGCTCTCGAGGATGTATTGAAGTAGAGGCTCAATGTTTCAACGACTCAGCGCTGGATCCTAAACTAAACTCTATATAATAACCGGCACCGACGACGGTTGCGACGAAGAAAGCAAAACTGAGTCTCGACACAAAGCTTGGTAAAAGTTTATGTGCCCGTTCTGTATTCCTTCTTTGTGGTGGCATGCGTATGTATGTCCGTGTGTTCTAACAACAATCAACGGACGCCATACAATAATCTCGCCCAAGGGAGGTTGCATTCTCGTCATGGCCGTTTCGTGTTAGCGCCCTCCCCCGACACACATTACATGAATTCGAAGCAGCTATGTGAGGGTTCAGACATCGCTAATCCCTAGCAGATGCGTTGCGTACTCGCAGCTTCACACAAACAACACACAAACAACATCTCGCCGAATCTCCAATCACGCAGGGGCTTTGGGGGCAACAAGAAGTCCGCCAAACGCCGAAAACCAACCATCAAAACAGTATCACTTCCTCGCGGTCTCCGAGGATCATCGTCAACAGAACTGTAAATTCATGATTTCAATCAAACCAGATCACGCCACGTTGCACCTGCAGGTCGGGCACGCAGGAGTAGTGCCGTTGACTATACCTCGTACTCCTAATCGTAAAAAAATGGAGAAATCGTCGCGGTGCGACGGATTTTTTTTCAACATCAAACAAGCAACAAGCATTTCGTATCGAGTACAGTAAACTGGGGGGGGGGGGGGGGAGAGAGAACCGCTTTGAACAACAACAAGCCGTGAAAAAGCGCAAAGGACGAGGTGCAACGAAACAACACCACGACGCCGGAACCTGGCTATGACAAGAAAGAAGTCACTTTTTCTTCTTCTTTCCGCCGCCGCCTTTCTTGGCCTTCCCCTTCCCGCCTTTCTACGTCCGCGCCGCCCTGTGAACAAGACCACACAGACAGGCGGTCGGCAAATATGTGCACGCACACACGATTGGAGTCGGACAAAGGGCAACGCCCACAATATACCTCTTCCTCAATTACGGCGTTGCACTCCCTTCACGCCAGTACCGAATCAATCAAACATATAGCCTTTTGCAAACAATACAGAACACGCCCGCACTTAGGAACTTGACAATAGAGAAATAATTGAGCCAAAATAATCTCACAACCAACAAACTCGAGCACCATTGGGAGCTCGGTTAAGAGCCTCTAAACTAAAACCTTTGTATCGGGAATTCGTAGCTTGCCCCAGGAGACTTGAAGAATCCCAGCCTCGGGCCAAAAATAGATGTTCTAGGCGCTTTCTGTAGCCTTAAACGCTCGTCGCAACAGTCGGCGACCATTGTGACGACGGCGGCGACAATACAAGCATCATCATCAACAGCGGCGACGACGGCGGCAGCGGAGACAACTACAAAAACACCTCTTTATCCAAACTCTGTATGTTTACCTCTGAGGCCTTGGCATCCTTGATCAACTTCCGCCGTTCTTCAAGCCCGGTAATCTTCGCGGTAAAGTCTTGGTATACCTGTGGGAGCGAACACAAAGCAGCCACATAGAGCAATCAAGAGTATTGTCAAGCGGGTGCACGTGAAAGCACAGCTCCGCCAGGTCAGAGATCTTTGAATAGAACGCACCCGTGCAAAACACCAGTATCGAAGATAGCTTCGGCAAAAATAAAAATGTCATTTTCCTTTTTTTCAAATCAGTCGATTGAACCCCGCCCATCTCGCCCCGTTTTCGTGTTTCTGCGGTCGGTCATCGTAGCGACCACAATATCATGGCAACGTCCTTGCCTGCACGTTTTTCACGAGGAGCTGCTGCTGCTGGGCTAGCACCCCCAGAAACTCGGAGCTGAGGAGAGGCCTCTTGGCGATGCGGTGCACCCGTCGCGGCGTGAGCGTGGTCTTGACCGACCGATAGATGGACCCGGCCGTGTAGCCCTCCGACACGTGTGCCAGGGTGCTGAGGTCGACCGTGCTACCGATCTGGACGCTGTGACCCTGGGACCCCTGTTGTAGGCGGCGGGGGTCATGGTGTGTGCGCATTATCATTGCTTTTTCTTCAAGCTTGGTCGGTGTGCATAAGTACCCTTCGCCTGGAATAAAACCTAAAACGAAGTACAAATGTGTGGTTAACGTCTGCGCGGGGAGGTCTGCTACTCGCCACTGAAGATCGCGAAGGCTCCTGCGTTGGCTTGGCGTGCACATATTGAAATAGCAGCATGTTGCTTGGCGTGCGGGTAGACTCTGCACAGAAGAGAGAGGATAATCAATGAAGAAGCAACGACCACAGAAGGAGATAAAACGCTTACGATGAAACGAGCTTGGTCTGTCGGAGCCTAGCCAAATGTTGTCTGATTGCTCGCCAACTTTGGCCTGGTTGTTTTCCAAGTTTGTCGGCGAGTGTTTGTGTGTGTGCGATGATGAACGAGCACTTAACGAGCTCGACCCCCGCTTGCGGGCCGGCCGGCCGACCTAAGACACCTGACCTGCTCTAACCGCTCTCGAATGAAGTGGTGCCACAGCATGAGCCGGCTGGCATAGTCCGGCGCGGGCACGTAGAGGAACTTCTGGAAGAAGTTTTTGAACTCCTTGGCATCCCCGGCTTCCGGCTTGGAGGTGCACCCCACGATGATCACGCGGTCTTCCTGTTTGTGCAACGGGAAAATGACAAGACGGAAGGATCTTGATGTGGCCCCCGCGTTTTCGTGCATACATTCTTTTGAAGCCCTTCCTGAGAGACAGAACGTCGTTGTGGTGGTTGTGTAAGAGGAAAAAATCGAATACAGGTCATCTCCTTCGGAGGAGGGAATGTGGTGTGGAAGAGAGGGAGGTTGTATCTTGGGAAATAACCAGGGTCCGAAATGAGACTCGATGTTTGTGGCTCCTCGTGAACTTAAGAGGGTTTGGGTTCCTCTCGACCAAAACTGGCTTGATGATTACTATCCTCCTTCGTACAGCAGTTAGGTATATTGGAACAACACCAGTCTGAGCACAAAAGGTTTGGGGAGACGTTATAACAGCAAGCAACCAGACAGCAGCAACCATCGCCGACACGGTACGCTACGACGAAATCAACACGAACACGTTAAGAAACGACTTTCAAAGAACGAAGCAAACAGCGATATCGATGCACTGAAAAGCCCTCACATTGGCCAGCCAATTGACGTTGTCGATGTTACTTCAAGAAGTACGGACAACGTGCAATCGATACGCGCGAGGGGATAGATCGAAAGGATCATGCAGCCTCAATTTTATCCGGCGGCGCTGATTTATTTTACTTGGTCGTCAGGTTATTTATTCGGTGCTGGCTGAAAACATGCACCCGCATGCCGCTGTTGTTCCCCTACCGGTTGTAACGCCTGGTTCTTGTAGGTGATAATATCCTTCTTGAATCGGGCTGCCCCTTCCTTGTCCGCCCCTTTCCCCTTCTTGCCCCCCGCCGCAAACATCTGCGGAGGAGCAGGGAGGGAGGGAAGGAGCAAAGAAGAAACATGCTTGTATCACATTACACATGTGAAAAAGTTGTTGCCTGATCGGAACGGGTCCGACTTCAGGTCAGACATTGAAACCACACCAACGAGGCAACTATCTGGGGGCATATGGTACGAGGAACGAGTCCCTCGTTTCTCTTCCGTGGTTCACGGGCGCAGCTTGTGAATATCCAGAGAAAACCGCCAATAGACGGGGAGCATCACTTGTATATTATTAAGCGTTAACTCTGTTGTGCTGCAGGTCTGGTGCACAGTGTAGTACCAAGTATCAGACGGGTGAAAAAAGGGTGAGTGGAGTGAAGAGACCCCCGTAAGGCGCTGAAGTGGGCGGTGGTGACCCAGGGTTAATAGTACATGCAGAGCGGGACGACTACTGTGCAGTAAAAGAATCAAAGGTGATACTATCGGCAGGTCTTGAAGAATAACTCACGAACTTCACGTCCGATTTGAAAGCCTCACCTGTTCGCACTCGTCGACGTAGATCACGACTGGAGCCATGGACACGTCCCTCGCGACCTCGAAGGCCATGTGCACAGCCTTTGTAGGGCCGGTTTTCCCCGGGAATAGCCCCTTCAGCCTGCTCGGGGAGAGGTTGATGACCAGGGCACCCAGCTGAGGGAATGACGTATTGTCAGGACGAACGGGGGCGGGGAGAGGGTACACTCGATGTTTTTTCTCCCGGAGGCGGGCGCGTTTTGTTCATGCATGCAGTGTTTTGTGGTCATTGGGCGACTCATCTCAACTCAGCGGGCACAACACGCACCGTCTCCGAAGCCCTTGTTGTAGATTCACGTATCAGCAAAGGAGGACTTGCGGAGCGACTTTTTCGCACCTACCGTGGCGAAGTCCTGCAGACCCCCCTACACCTACGTAGAAAACCTGGGGATTTTCCTTGGTCAGCGACAAAATGAGAAACCGAGAGCACCTTGTTTTCTCACGTACCCCTGTACCCAACCCTTCGCAGTGTGATAGTCAGTTGGCTCCTCATGCCAACGATGCCGATTGCCATTGTCCGATCCCGAGTATTCCACAACTTTGCCTTGGCTGAGCTTTTAGCTTCTCAACATCGTCCCACTTCTTTCTGATCGTGGTGTCCGGCTGACACCTGGCCGTTCTAATCTGTTCTTACCCCACCCCGCACCCAGACCTCATTCACCGATACCGTACCTCGGACGCAATGGCCTCGACCATCATGGTCTTCCCCGCGCCGCCCGGACCGTACAGCATGACCGCTTTCAGGTTGTGCTCCGGCTTCAAAGAAGCCTTGAGCTGAAAAACACACGCGCAGAGAGAGATAGATCGAGAGAGAGAGAGAGAGAGAGCGGCAGGCTTGAGGGTGTGCGCGGGGATCGACAGGTTGGCCATCGTCTTCATGGACGTCTAAGTATATACCTGAAACAGAGGCTTATATCTGAGGGTATGGCTCGGGGACATGTTCAATCATGGGGTGGAGATCAGCCATGCTCTGGCCCCTAGCGGGCCTTGAGCTGCCCTGGAAAAGAAAACGAAGGTTCCGAGTTGATCGCGCGCTAGTGCTCCAGCGCCTCCCACGGCGGCACGACAATAGTTGCGACGCAGGTGGAAACGAGGGCCGACAGTTGCGAAATAGTTGGGCCGATGCTTCACGATTCGTTTGTGCCTGCCACGCGTCCGTTTTTCTTGTGTGCAGGTGTTGCGAGACGATGCGTGAATTTAACGCCAGCAGCGGCGAATCTTATTACTCGTACACTTGTTTTATTGGATGTTGTTGTTTTCGGTGTTGTGTTTGTTGTTGTTATTGTCTCCACATTGACAAAATTTGTGGTTCTGGAAAGCATCTGATATGTACGAGGGGCACAAGGATATCCCTAGAATCGACCTCGAGGGCGGAGGTGGTGTCGATAAAGCCGATTGTAACGTGGCTTTACGTTCGGCGAGAACTCATCCGGACATCAGAGATCCGTGCTGGCAGCCTCACGGTGTGGCCACCTGCTTCGAGCCGACCGGAAGGATGCAGTACTCGGTGACGAGCTGCCTCAGCTGGGCCATGGACGGGTCCTGCGGTATCCACTGGCCTTCCCGTCGTTCTGTGTGCTGGTGGATCATCCTGAATTTTTGCGAGGCACAGGAGGCAAGAGAAGCAGAGAGTACGAGGGTTGTAAGACGCCAGAGAATGGGGACTCTATATTGCTACTAAAACGATTCCTTCTGCTACAAACTCACGTCGTGAATGATATATATCGATCCCCACAGGGACAATACACGACGTTCTCAACGAAGGGAGCTAAAACCGCCCACGTGCTATTTCGCGAACTTCGAACCCAGCTAAAACACCTGTTTTCCCTTGTGAACGAACGAAAATGGTCCCGTTCCCAGGGTTTGCTGCCGGGACCAACGGCAGCGTACCCTACGTCGACAGCAAACGCTATGTGTGATTGTATCCTCCTTCATGAGATTTGACTGGCCTTTTCTGGCGACTTATGCTAGTGTCGGAGACTACCGCGCTTGCAGCAGTCCTGTTCGTAGCTGCCACAACGGAAACTACCAGCAGACTGAAACTGCGACATGCCGAGAAAAAAGGACGTACCCGAGGTAGTTGAAGTCCCCGACGAAGTCCGACACCCGCCGAGGCGCCGCGGTGCTGATCAGCCGGTTCTCCACTAACAACGAGAGCATCTGGTCCGTGTCCATGTTCTTAAGCTCACTGATCTTGTCCCCGGGCAAACCTTTTTCGTACGCGAGAATGTCAAGTTGGGCGAGCGAGATTCACACCAAAAGCTGGGTTAACGAGGCAAAGTGTTGGCCGGCATACGTATGGCCTCCATAGTAGTGACTCGACGGAGGATATCGGTGAGTGCACACCGTCAGTACCTGCTGGGCTAAGTGAATGCATGGATGCGCGTGAGTACGATTAGTGATCACGTTGTGTGCTTGCAAGCACAAGTGGGTTCCCACCATGGCGGGCTAGTGTCAGTATTACGCCTCATGGCGTGGGAATCCAAACGCACTTGAAACTCTTACATCTTCTGTGCATATCGTCATCACTACCTCTCGTTCATTGCCGTGCTAGACACTCCCGTCCTCTTCCAGCCCCCGTTTCCTGCCTCAGGGCTTAGCTGTATAACAACAACCACCAACCCACCTCGCCCCCACCTCACCTTTTTTCTTCCCCTTCTTGTCCCCTTTCCCCTTCTTGCCCCCCTTCTTCCCGCCCTTCCCTCCCTTCTTTCCCCCGCCCTTGCCCCCTTTCTTGCCGCCCTTCTTTTCGGCCTGCTTCGCCACCTGCATCTTGATCTTCTGAAGGTTCATCAGCAGCATCTCGTCTACCTATGGGTTCGGCGCGATGGCATTCATTCCGTTGGTATTGTTGTGTTTTGTTTTTGGTTGGTTGAAGGATGAGCGTGGCGTGGGGAAAAATCGAGGGATAGGTAAGACAAGTCGGGTAGGTGGAACGGAGGGAAGGAAGGAGGAAGGGAGTGGTGGAATGGGGGGGTAGTGGGATCAGACGAGGGATGAACGGCGGATGGGCAAGGGAGGGAGGGTCCTGACTCTCCCGCCTCTCAATCAAAGGCGACAACACGTGTTGGCTCTTGCTCCCACACTCGCATTGTCGACACCCTAAGTGTGTTCGCCTATGAATGGTTCATCGCGATTCTCTCTCAACTCGGCAAGTGTATAGCGGCTTATTTCTGCCTTCGCACTAGGAATGTCAGAGAGTGAAAGTGTGTCTCCATAGAAACGGGTAGGGGCGACTCATTTTACCTTTCCATATCTCTACGATAGGACAACGAGGTTTCGTATAGCACAAAGCGAGGGTGCTACGGCGGGAGCGAGGGAAGCCGTCCAAGTCGTACATGTTGGGATATGCTCTCTCAAAGTGAAGCACACCTGCTTGCGAATCTCTTCAATGACGCTCGGTCGGATCTTGTCCTTCGCGAGGGAAACGTCGTGCTTCTGAGCGAAGTTATCGCTCTCATCGCGATCCTCCCATACGCCAGAGAAGTGCCTACCGAGCGCGGACGCGACAACGATTTGCACGACAATCGCAGCAAACAATGTGAGACGGATGCGAGGATAGTTCTTGCCGTCCCAACATCGCCGACAAAGGGCTTACCGCAGCAGCTAGTTCGCAAGGAACAGACGCACGATGAAGCAGCGTCTCGCGCTTGCCTCAACATTTTCGTTCTATGCCGCGATAGCGAGATCGCAGATCGCAGAAATGAGCTTTCGAAATGAATCAGGGGCGATGTCATGGCATCTGCTGTTATCGTCTTCTGTGGCGATCAGTCAGCGCCAGATGCGAAAAGGTATAGTGACATCTCCATCGCGCCTTGACTACTGTAGGTACATCTAGCGTCGTGCTCTTTGTCACTCGCTTGGCGTCGAAAGCAAAAGGTGTGGCACTACGTGTCAAGGGGTGGCGACGATGTAGGGGTGGTCGAATAGCATGTCCTTTAGCCGTAGCACGCCAGCGGGACCGCGAGCGGGCAACACCCCAGAGCATCGTCGAACGATACGCTCGCTGATGCATCAAACTCCTTATCTTAAACTTGCGATAAGCACAGACAATAGCACCCCATGGCGATCTCCCGACGGAGCATGTCCACGCCATACCCGGCGTGGTCCATAACCTCATAATATGTAATAAATTAACGCCACACAGACCAGAAGTCTTTCATACGCACTACAGTTGTACTGTCCGAAGACTCCTAGCACGGGCTTAGACCTCGTCCAGCTGTGCTGGCGCAGCTTGGTGATACGGAGCGCAAACAAATAAGCAAGAGTCTCGTCGCTTCCTTACTTGACTTCGGCGAAGATTTTCTCGGCGAGCTCGGATTTCCCCTGCAGAGGAGGCGGCAGCTCCGGTGGCTCATCCGGATCCCCCCCGCCTCCCTTGCCCCCCTTTTTCCCCTTGCCTCCTTTCCCGCCTTTTCCCCCCTTCCCCTTCCCCTTTCCCTTGTCCTCTTTGTCGCCCTTCCCTTTCGCGTCTTTCCCCTGTGCTTGACGCGGATTGGAGCGAGCAGGGGGTCACAAGCAATGCACAACCACGTGAATATGTTGGGCAGGGGATGAAACCAAAGAGCGCGTTAAGGGAGGGGGCTCAGGTCCGAGGGACGTCAATCATGCGACGCTTGTCTGTAACCCACGTCTTGAGCATGTTGTAAAATGAATGAAGCCCTCACACGCCAGCTGTAGGAACAATCGGGCGCTCGCCTGCGCCAACAATCTAACGTGCTTAGGGAACATGACGTCCATATATTGGCCGAAGGACGTCGTATAGCTGGTTACGGTGCGCAACGTGAGGAAGACAAGTTCCTCTTTATCCAATCTTCGTGAGGTCTCGAGCACAGGCCGTCTGCGCGTACGCCGAGGAGGGGTTGTTGCCCGACGTGTCACCCATCACTGACCTTCCCCTTCTTGCCGCCGCCCTCCTCCTCCGTCGGAGGTTTCTCTTCGGATGGTGGGTTCTTGAGAAGGTAGAACGCCTCGAGGTCCTCCGGGAACTTGTCCTGCGCGATCTGATCCGTTACCCACAGCGTTCGCTCCTCCCGAAGGCTCTCTCGCATCTCTGGACCCTCCTGCAGACCCACGCCGCCAGAGTGCGGAACGTCACAAATTTCTGCGATCGGTGGGGAAGCACGGAAGCAGCCCCCCCTTGTTTCCCGCGCGGTTGCCATGGTTCACAAGCAACCAGCGACGAAAGACCCAGTCTACCCCGAGAAACGGGAGCTTGTTCGTTGAGGTACGACGTGCGTGGGAGCATGTTTGACGTGTGTTCTGCTGGCTGGGAGGGTTTTGCATGGATCGCATGGCCAAGTACGTTCGTACTGTCAAAGTGAAATCACAGCCGAGAGAAGGGACCGCTCGTAACATCACACATTTTGCCTACGGAGGATATCAGAGGGAAAGCGGAACAGAAGTCTCCGAGAACATGAATAATTATATTATCTCACCTCTTCGAGCACGACGTCCTTAAGATCCTCCAGAGCCTCCTCGTACGCGTCTCTATTGTCCGTCTGTCCGCAAACCGTGCGTAACAACGGGTTTTTTTTCGTTGGCATCATCTGACATCCCCACGGTGTTCTGGAGGCAACACCGGCTGACTGAAGTTCTTAAAGAACGGGTCGTCGGTCTCGTAGGCCTTTTGGGAGCAAGAACATCAGACAGACGACCCTTCTCCTGGCCTATCTATTGCTTGTGATACGACAGTTTTCTAAAACTGTCCCCCCTCCTCTCTCTCTCTCTCTCTCTCTCTCTCTCTCTCTCTGCTCACTAGCTCTTTCTCTCTGTCAAGAAATTCGCTCTGTGCTCCAGGTAATCGAGAGGAGGGATATCTGCTACACTCCACGGGCAATTTCTTCAGCGAGAGTCGTCTACCCTATCTCGCGAGAAACAACTACGTATCCTCTCGGTTTGGCCCTCGCCTGCTCCTGTTTCCGCTTTTGATACGCAATGTCCAGCTCCCTCTGCAACTCGTCCAGAGTGCTCTCCGCGGGCTTCATCCCGATATAGATCATCTCGTCCTCGCGCTCTTGTCTCGCACGCCTTCGGGCTGCCGACCCACGAAAAAGTCGCTGTCGCGTACATATTGGGGGGGCACCGGGTGGTGGATGCGAGAGAGGGAGGGGGGGTACGTGGGAAGCAGGATCGCAGGGCGGATGTAGTGGGAAGACAGAGAAAAGGAATTTTCGGAGTATGTCAATGCCGATCCGCACATGCTCTGGTAGAAACCGTGAACACAAGCTCATCGGCCAAAATGCTGAAAAACACTCATGTCTTCAGAAGGTCTTCTCGTCGACAGTACATGCAAAGAAACTGCGGGCACATTACAGAGCTCAAGCAATAGTCTGTAGCTGGTGGAGGAAGACTAACGTTACTGCTCAGCACGTCGGCGTTACGACGTACAGCATCCGTGGCCCTTCTTTCTACGAAACGCCCGAAGTGCCTCTTCCTCTGTTCCTGGAAGGTTCGACTCTCCACGTAGACTCCCTCCTCATTCCCCTCCTACCCTCCCGCACACAACTGTAGTATTACCGGCAACATTTGTAAAGCCACCTTCAAAACACAAGCCCTGATCCTCAAAAGGTGGCCGACGAAGCGACGAAGGCGCACTTAGCAGGCGAAGCACCTAACACAACGCCCTACGGGGATATAGAGGCTGGTTTGGGGGGCATGCTTAACGGCACGTGCAGTTTCGACAAGACTGTTGTTGTACTCAGCGTATCCCGCTTCAAACATCCAACAAGACGAAAGTTGCGATTCGGGTTAGAATAGTGGAGGGCCCTCAATAACGCCGGAATGTTCCCGGTGCATCGACCGGCGCTACTCAGAGGGACGGGCGCTATTCAATGTACAGCATGAAGTGGTGATTCGGTCTGTGCCCAGTAATTTCACCGGCGCTATTTAGGGCAACCAGGCTCTAATCCACCGGCGGTATTGACGCCCCCCCACTTTACCTGGATGTTTGCGGCGGCGATCTCCGGGTCCATTTCCAACTGGTCCGTCGCGTCGTAAATGCGCCTCTTCTTTTCCTCTTCCCTGAGCTCCTTCAACAGCAGGGCCCTCTGCTTTCCCTGCCGGCCTCGCTCGTTCCGTTGAATAATCTCGAGTGCCTGCGCCAATATCAACACCGTAGCGATTTATTGGGCGAACGAGAGGGCTGGCTTTATTCGTGAATGGTGACTTGCACAATACAGTAAGGTCGCATCACGACCACTAGGAGTCTGTCAATTTTGAACTGCCATGCAGGTTCTGTAGGAGTTAAAAACCGAAAGGATACACGTACCACAAAGAACTGAAGTCAAAGTCCGCCAAATTCGAAGTCAGGCGGTTGAAAGCGGTGAAATCCATTGTTTTACGCTGTTTGAGTCACGGTGTGCTCTCCCCCTCTCCCGTCCAAGAGAAAACGAAGTACTAAACTTCAGCGAACAACAACGAGTACCCCTCCCCCCTCCCCAATCCGCACCTTATCTAGTGTCATTTCTCCTGCGGCCGAGTCGGGGTCCTCTTTGTCGTCCAGCGGTAACCCATCGGCGGTGTTAAGCTTGAGCTTTATGTAGCCCTTGACGAGCGTGTCCCGAGCGGTGATCTCGACCGCGACGTCCTGCTTGAAGTACCTGCCGAGATATTCGCCATGAAAGATGAAAGGACTCACGTCTTGAGTTGTTGTGTCAGCCCCTCCGCGATGAAAGAACCAAAGAACCCAAGACAACTTCCTTCCTTAATTTCCTTGCTATGTGTTGGCCTACCTGTCTGCTCGGTCCCCTCCGTTTGTTGGCGTCCCTCTACCCTCCCTTCCTCTCCACCTGCCTCGTTGTTGAAACCCGACGAATTCCGTCCCGGATTTCTAGCAATACGAAGGTCCGTGGTCGACAATGTACAGCCATTCAAAGTGCCTGAGATTGCGTGGTCACCCACCCCCAAAACCTTAGCACCCTCTGTCCCCGCCTATCTGCCTCCCCCCCCTCTCCCCTGAGCTCTTGCCTGGGCACAGCGACGTCGAGCGTGTCTGGCGAGAGCTTCAGGTCGACGAGGATGTCGTCGAGGTTGACATAGTCCCAAGGAAACGCCTGCTCTGGGGCTGGCGGCGGGAAGCGCATGTCCGCGTTGGGCGGGTTCCACTTGACGAGCTCGTGCTTGAGCTCCAGCACGCGCCGGATCACCAGCTCGAGGACCATCTGGGGGAGAGATAGGGTTTGCCGACCGGTGGCCGACGCGGGTGGCGCGAGGGCAAAACCACATGGTACTGATCGCATCGCATTCGGTGAGAAATGGGGTGCTACAGCTGTACTCTGCTGGAGAAGGTTTGTGTTTTTGGCGCTTGGGTTTCCGCTGTCCGGGTCGGAACAGGACGGTGCTTCACGGATGCCCCAACGTTGAGTTCTCTGACACGAATTTCTCGCGAGCGCACGGCAGATAATTTTTGGGCTCAAAGGAGAACATTTTGGGAGATGCCTTTACTCTATTGACTGTTCGTCCCATCTGTTCTTGGCGCAAATCTACCCCTACATCACACTTCCGTATGTTCAGAATGTCCCTGAGAATGAATAATCATCCATGGTGAAACTTTGGGATTCTCACGCCTGCAAGCTTGCCTGCTGATCTCGCCAGGGTAGCTTCTCTGTAATGTTCTAGAAGAAACAGCGTGTCTTCACCTTGACGTCTATTCGCTTCTGCGGGTGCACCATGGCGTCGTAGCACATCTCCAGGCGCTTGAAGATCTGCACATACTTGATGTACAGGCAGGCGAAGTGCTGGAAGGCTTCCATGATAGTGGCTTGCGGGGGAGGCGGCGGTGGCTCGTCGCCCTCGGCCACGTTTAACGTGTTGTCCTCGATGTGCACCTTTTATGCAGTCCCGCACGTTTGAAATGTTATTATTTTCTGTCCTTGGGAGGAAGTGAACACTACAAAGACGTTTCACGTATCACACGGCCCAATCATTCTGGGTTGACAATTTGTTGTCACTTTTCTCGCTTCAACCTCTACTGTTGTAGATCGAAACTCTATATAGATTGACAGACGGCAACTTATCGGTGGGACGTCCTCAGCATTTTGGGAGTGAGAAATTAGAACATGTTTTCGTCGTTATGTTCTCCTGTCGTGGGCCGCAAAGTGTGCGTACGGCACGCTTATCCCTTCGTGAAGTGGTCTGCGGGGGTATGGTTCGGAAAGGGCGAACAGAGGGGCTACTTGTATCGCAGACGTCTTGAGTGCTGAGGTACACCTACTCAATAGAGCTCACTTCGGGGGGCCTCGTCTGGGCCTTTACCTAGGGACAGAGGTGAGGCGAAGAGGATAGAATCTCAGCAGATCGATCCGCAGCGCTGAGGTTTTAAAAACCACACAGCAGTAGGGCCCAACAGTCTACGAGATGCTGTCCTTGTACGAGTTTATCTTCCCGAGAAAGATGGCCACGTATTTGAAAGGATGCACACCATGGTCGGCTTAGCCCTCTACACACAGAGCGGGGTGCACATGTACGCCGAAAGTAGGGAGCAGGTCCCAGCGTGACGGGACTTCCTCGGAGAGCTCAGCGAACACGCGGGTTTCAGCAGTAACAGGACATTGTTTACCGTCGGTGGGCAAATCAGCCCGATATAGCGAAGCAGCTCACACGTATCGCATTTGTATCTGGACACAAATGTCAACATCATAATCATACCTGCTCGTTCAGCTCGGCCATCGTCTCTCGCCACACCAAGTCATACGTCCTGCAGGTCGTTGTGTGGGTACGATGACGATATACAGCGTCACATCGAGGAAGGAACTCACTTACAAGAGTGCCCACAGAATAAGGCCTCAAGGGGGGGGGGGGGGGGCGTTGAAGTCCTTGCAGCGAAGGTTTAGTGACGCCAGCAACATGTGCTCTGCAGATGTTTGATATTACAATATTATTATTGTATGCCATGCAATATTTGAATTGAATCCTTGCGTCGTCGGTCCTGTCAGCCCTTGCCGTTCCCCCTCGCTACACCAACGAACGACGAACCAACCGGCGGGCCGACTCACGGGATTGACGAAAGAAGAACCTAAAGGAGAGGAATGCAAATGCTCGTAACATCCTACTGCTGAGTCCAAGCACCAGCGGCAGCAGCACAGCCAAGCAGCTCAGTTTGCCAATAAACCTGTTTGACTATATGTAGTGGCGACTGCTGTACATGTAGGTACTGCATGGGACGAACACTCACGCGTTCGACATGTTGCTGCCCGTGCGGTGCCCCAAGCCGGGCAAAACCGATTTGTTTCTGTCCTAGTTGGATCTTCGCAGCAGTGCCTAGCCCTGTAGGAATGATTTCACGGAGGTATACTTCTTTTGTGGCGGCGGAGAGGACGCAGAACCTTGTCGCCCATCGCCAAAGAGGACGAGATCGACGGTTACGGTTTCACAGAGTTTTCACAGCGAGCGAGGCGTCGTGGGGGCTCAATGGTTGGAAGTGCGAAGGGGGTGGGGAGGGGAACAAATAGCGCACGGCGTGAGTAGTGAGTGAGAGAACTGAGAAGGGCGTGCTACAAGTTAGCATCGCGGACACGAGAGGGTGCATCGTGGCCGACAAATTGGTCTAGCGGTCATTTGCTGCTCCAATCGCTGTCTCTGCTCAGCTGTCAGGCCTGGGCTTGCATGCATGTACGCGATAGCTGGAAGGCAGGCGCACGAAACGTGTGCGTGTTGACAGCAGCAGCATGGGGCTCGCCGGTTCGAAGACGATTATTCCCATCAAGGAGGCCGATGCAAAGCTCGGGGCAAGCCTGCGGATAGAGATGGACAAGGTATGGGGCATGTGGTAACTCTTCCTCTGCTGTGAGCTTGCATTGAGGTGTGCATCGTCCTCCGTTGGCCCTGTTAATTATTGCTTGCTCCCCGTTGAACACACTTTCTACCCTCCTCCTTACGGCATCATCCTGCTGGAAACGTGAGTTGGAGACTACAAGCAGCATCAGCAGCAGCAGCTACAGCACAGCCGAGGCAATTCAGTTGCATCTACAGGAGTAGGTGCATAGGACGCTGTTGCTTGTTGCGGCGCTTCTGCTCAGTCTACCGACCCTTGGTCTGTTTGCGCTCGAGTTCTGCGGCACCATACGTTCCACCGCCCCCGCCGTCGATTGTTCTCTCGTAAACGGCGGTATGTAGCAACGACGAGAGCAGCGACTTCCCGTCGTTGAAGTGGGGACATAGCGCCCCTACCATTTGGGAAAATACACCTCCAACACAGCGCAGCATCCCGACCCTGACTCCACACTCAAAAAGTTCAGCGCAGCTTCTGCGGCGCACCGTGCTGGAGGCAATGTCTTTGGATGAGACGGCCGCTGTTAGAGACCCCGGCAGGCTGGAAATCAGTATCTCTCCGCGCTTTTGCCCGCCGGGGGCATCACACCCCCCATCTCCCTAGCTAGACAGGTGTGTATCCCAATTAAGCTGTGCCCGCCCAATCTGTCCCTCCTTGTGCGTGTAGCGTGCTGCAGTGCCTCTGGTTAACTCTGGGAGGATTCCGAGACCAGATAGGTCTTTGCCCGTGGGCAGGAAGCAATCCCGTGCTGCCATTAGCACATTAGCACTACAGCAGTATTGTAGTCGTGCACAAGGCACTCAAAAGTTTACAGATGAGTCTAACCGTGCACATGTTCGTGTTGCACTACCGGTGCAATCCCCGGCGGAGGGCGGAGGCTGCCGGGGTTGCACACGCGGCAATGGCTGGTCCAACAGCAGGAGCGTCAGGTTGCTGTTCCCACTTGGTCATATGTATGGTATGGTAGTTTTTCCGCCTTTCCGCCTTCCTTTTTTTCTCGTCGCCCTCGTCACCGACCCCCCCCCCCTGCTGCTTCTGCTCGGCACCCCCCCCGCCAGGCGTACCACCGCATCACGGAGAGCGGCATCGGCGAGGCGAGGCTTCTCGACGTTAAGGCGTTCCAGAGAAACTTTCTGGAGGCCTTTCCAATGATGGTGCGTTGCTGCTGCTGCTGCTGTTGCTGCAGTTGGTGTTCGCACGTGCTCGTTTTGTGTTGACGTTCCCCGGGTTTCGGTCGTCCGCTGTAAGCAAAAGTTGCTGTTTTGGTCGTTCTACAACACGCGTACGGATACAATACGTCCGATGTTGCTTGTTAATTTTTAATTTTTAAGACATCTTGAGTGGGTCGGGCGTTGTGGTGCTCATTGAATTCATGACAAGGTAAGTAAGATACAGCTTGTAACGACGGAAATTCGCCGTGACTAATTGTCTCTGAAGAATGGGGACCCAGAGGCAGCGGATAAAGATCAGCACCTTAAAACGAGAGAAGAAAATCTACAGCACCTGGTGAGCATCAGCTGACCCCGCCCAATGACACAGATGACGCAGGCAGTCTTCGAACCCACCGACACTACTCGTTGTGTGTATGTCATTCATTTGGCAAACACACACGCACTCCTTGTAGACTGCAACACAATCTTGTCCGAAAAGCCCGCAGGCAGCAGTTGGTCGCGCAGATGAATCGCCTCGTCTCAGTCTCTGCTGTGCCTCCCGCCCACACACCTCACGCGTGGTCATGTCGATCCCCCCCACTGCTTTCTTTTCTTTTCTTTTTTTGTCTGCAGCCAAAGATTTTGGTGGAGTCGCTTTTCGATGCCTTCGGAGCCGCCCGGCGTGGAGCCGTGTCGCTCGAGGAGTTCGTGTGTGCGGTGGCGGTGATGCACAGGGGCACCGCCCCCGAACAACTGCGCATGCTCTTTGAGGTGCGAACATTGCAGGCGGGGGGGGGTAGGGGGGGGGGGGTCGAGAAGGCTCTCGCCTCGACACTTGATATCGAGGCTAGAGGGTGCAGTGCGATATATGGTATGACTCGGTTGGCTCCCTGTGGGGCTGTGGGGGTGCCCTCGAGAGACGAATGCAGAGCCGTCATTCTGCCACCGGCCGGCTCGTGGCGTGGCGAGAGAACGACCGCGGGGCAAATATTGTCACCGATTGCGTCGCACCGCTACTGCACACCTTGTACAGCAGCAGCCGCAGATCCGATAGTAGTATGCATCAGTCGTGCCCCCCAAGTGACGGGATTGTGTTGTGTGCACGTACGCTGCCGCTGTTGTCGTTCGCGGGTTGTTCGCGCTCGCTCGCTTGCTCGCTCTGTGTACCGTACCGTACCGTACCGACCAGGTGTACGACATCCGACGGGCCACGTTCATCGAGATCGACCACGTCCGGCGCCTGCTGGACCATATCTACGGCTCGGCGCACTCCGAAACCGTCGACCAGGCGCTGGCCTGGCTCTTCCGCGTGTCGAGGTCAGCAGCAGGGCGGGGATGACCGTGGGGGGGCGGGAGGGAGGGAGGGGAAGTGTCAGGCCTCGTACTGGCTTGAAAGTAGCGGAAGGGTGTCTTGTGGTGGTGTTTTTGTTTGGTGGAGGCGGAGACCGGGGAAACGGAGGAGCGGTGTCTTTCCGTTCTTTCTCTTTGTTTGTTTGCTGGCGTAGCGCTCGTGCAAGAATCCTTGTTAAGCTTACTTTTTGCTAGAACTTGACCCAAGTTCTTACAATGCAGCACGAGCGTGTGCTAGACAAAATAAATACCCGTTGTTTTGCGGCACGATTATCTCGGTGTTTCTCATTGTCGCGATTGCCTTTTCTTTTTATCGCCGCTAACCTACCACCACAAAACACAGCCGCGAGGACGAGATGGATGCGGACGAGTTCATCGCGCGGCTCACCCCTGTCGTCGACTTCCGGGGCACGGCGGCGGCCGCGCAGGCCGAGCCCCTTCTGCAGTGGTTCCGCGTCCTGTGCACCCGTATCCTGGAGGAGCCGCACCCGGCGGTGGTGGCGCTGGAGCAGCGGTACAACCCGGAGAGGGACCTGAGCAAGGTGAGGGCTAGGCTAGCTCTTGCGGGGGGGGGGGGGGGGGTACCGTGGGTTGCACAAGAGGTCACACCCCCTGGAGCGATGTTCGAAGCTCGATACATATCTCGGCAATGAAAGCAGTGACGGACGATGCTGAAAATGGCGTCGTTGGAAACCGTCTCGCCGAGAGCCTTCCGAAAACGTATGCTTCAATTTCGGCATCTTCTTTCGTCGTGGGAGTAGTCGAGCTTTGAAAATCGGTCCAGGGGTGTGTGATATATTATGCAACCTACGATTCTCATAGCCGTGCATGCCGCAGTAGTGGTCGTGGGGCATACCTGTGTTTTTGCCTGCCTTAGCCCTGTAGACCATGTTGAACACGCGTCCTCGACGGCGGAGGGGGGCGTACGTACTCATGTTTTTTTATGCCTGAGCGGCTAGACCATCGTCCTCGAGAGGACGGAGCAATAATCTTGCCGTGGGGAGCGGTTCTTGTTTGCGTCATCGAGAAAGGGCTTGTAGACCGTGTTTTGGGGGTGGGTGTCCTGGGTACGTACGGCGAGTGCGGCCGGCGCTTGGGGGGCCGTAACCGCACGGCCGGGCGCAGGGGTGGGATGGAGGCGGTAGGGGGAAACAGGCGAAGGAGATGTGTTTTGGGCGATGCGACGAGCGACTGGTACGAGGCAGGGTAGGGGGGGGGGCGGGGGGGGGGGGGGGGGC